ATGCCAAGCTGGATTAGGGAAGGGCTGTCAGGAGGAATGGAAATAGAAATGTCTGTGGGTGGGAGTGAGTGCAGTATTACTTAATCATCAGGACATTGTATAGCCTGAGTCCTTACAAGGTGCTCCAGATGTTTGGCTGTGCTTATACAGCCTGTATTATGGCGGGGCTCACTGCTTTCATTAGATTTCCAGAGGGACTCACATAACCCCTATCCTGCAACTATCACTCACCAGTTCCAAATACACACACACACACACACCTCCCCTCATAAAGAGGAAATGTAGATAGAAATCATGGGCCTGAGGGAAGGAGAGGAGAGGATCTAGGGACCCAGTGTTCCAGCAGGGGCATCACACTCGCTGGTGCCTTGTCTCTGTCTACTGACACGACCTCTAACATGTCACCTTCACTTCTGAGCATTTTTCCTTGAAGCCTTCCGCAAGGTTGCATTTCTCTAGTCCTCCTTTCCATTCCTGCCTGTCAGTGTCCCATTCCACAGAGCTCGTCCTCAGCCTTCCGTTCTGCCTTCTCTAGATCATCCCATCTGCCTGAGTTCTGAACATTGCACTTCATGATTCGTGTGTGTATGTGTGTCTGTCTGTTGGTCCTGGGGCCTGAACTCAGGGGGTGGGCACTGTCTGGAGGTTTTAACAGGAGCCACAGCTCCACCTCTGGCTTTGATCTGCGATCCTCCTATCTCAGCGCCCAGCACATTTCAAAACAGTGGTTAGGGTGGTTCATGGGCACTTGTATTCTCATTTCTCCTAATTCTGGAAAAACGACCAATAAACCTTTAGATTGACTCGCTTAGTGCTACCAAGTCCCAGACCCTGGACTGGCTTGCACGTGTCGGTCCCTCAGAGGGTTTCTGGGCCCGCCGGGTCGCAGTACAGGCGGAGGCGACGCGTGTTGTGGCACCAGCGGCCTGACGACCTGCGGCCGGAGGACCCGCGGCGGGGACGCCACTCTGTCCCCGTCTGCGTCTCGTTCCCGGAAAGACGCTCTGCCCGCCGCCAGGCCGCGCTCGCCTGCTCCCTTCCGCTTCCGGTGTCCCATACAGCCATGGCCGCCGCCGCTGCCGCCGGCGCTGGGGAGCCCGTGTCCGCCGACGAACTGCTCCCGAAGGGCGACGCGGAGAAGACCGAGGAGGAGCTGGAGGAGGAGGACGACGACGAGGTACGGGCGACCCGCAAGGAGCGGGGCTGGCGGCGAGCCGCCGCAGGTGTGGACTCCGCGTGCGGCGGTGCCCGGGCGCAGGGTCGGGCGGCGCCGGGCGCAGGGTCGGGCCGCGCCGGGCGCAGGGTCGGGCCGCGCCGGGCCCGAGCGCTGCGGCTCCCTGGGGCCCGGGGGCTCCCGGCGGCGCTCGGGGAGGATCCCGCCGCCGGGGCCTTGACTCTTGCCTCCTCTACCGCAGCTAGACGAGACCCTGGCGGAGAGACTCTGGGGTCTGACGGAGATGTTCCCAGAGAGGATCCGGTCCGCGGCCGGAGCCACCTTTGACCTCTCCCTCTTTGTGGCTCAGAAAATGTACAGGTAAGGGACGAGGGCAGGGTCGCCGTGTGCACGGGTGACCGAAAGACCACGGGCTCTGGAAGCTGCAGCCCTAGGCTTGAGTGACCTTGGGCTGATTGTAGTAACCTTTCGATTTCCTCTTCCGAAAGTGGAGATTCCAGGTCATTTCAGGGTATCTGAGATGACCGCTGCCTGAGCCGCTTTGTAAGAACTCGGCAGACTGGCGCACTGCTACCGCGCGGCTCCCAGAGCTGCCCCCGCCGTTTCTGGTTAGGAGTGGCCCAAGGAGCGCTGAGAATGTACTGATCAAAGACATTGGCGTGTGTACTCCGGAGATTCCGTTATTGGTTCCCTCCTGGCGTGGCTGTCTTGTTTTGGTCTGATTTTGTTTCCATCTCTCCCTGCTCCCCGTACCCCTCTGCAGATTTTCCAGGGCAGCCTTGTGGATTGGGACCACTTCCTTTATGATCCTGGTTCTTCCTGTTGTCTTCGAGACGGAAAAGTTGCAAATGGAGCAACAGCAGCAGCTGCAGCAGCGGCAGGTGAGCCCAGGCTCTGCTGGGCTTTTCCCAGCAGTGGAGACAAAAGTTACTTCTCTAATGCCCGCATAGATGGGACATAGGTGAGGCCGTTCACATGTGGCTGGGAGTGGAATTAGGCTCAGACTCTTAGATGCCAGCTGCTCTGCGTTGTTGTAAATTTTTGTGAACCCCCATTAGTTATGAAAATGAAACTTATAGACCAGTACAGTGTCTTAACTCCTCTCTCTCGTTTTTTTCTTTTCCAGATACTTCTAGGGCCTAACACAGGGCTGTCAGGAGGAATGCCAGGAGCCCTACCTTCACTTCCTGGAAAGATCTAGATTGTTATGCTATATTTGAGAAGTCTAGGTGGGAGAACTTTGAGATTCAGTTGTGTTTGAACTGCTGATTATTTGGATTTCTTTTTCCTTCTTTTAAATTTTGGCACAATGATCTATCCAAACCTGTTGGGGAAAATTCTCCAGACCTCATTGTCTCAAGGAAAGACTCCCAACTTGCAACTATGCCCTCCACGCTGTCCTCATTCTGATAGTGCAGCCATGTGGATGGTTATTCCAGCACTGGCTCTCATCCCTTTCAGTAAATTGCTCTCCTCACTACCCAGTGTGGGGTAGAAACTAAGGCCAGTGGGAGAGCAGCACCCCTGGCTCTTTTTTTTTCTTTTTTTTTTAAGATGGAGATGTCAGGGATGAACATGCACACAATACAAAACTGACAAAATGCATTGAAGTAGTAGTATAGAGTAGCCACCAGAGATCTGTTGGAGAGGAGCAAGGCTTGCTGAAGCCTTAGCCATAAGTAGGGATGATGGGGACTGTGGAGGACAGAGCAGGAGCTCATTTCCTCTCTACATTTTGGCTGTTAGACCTATGTGTGTGTGTGTGTGTGTGTGATGTCTGTATGTTAAAAAAAAAAAAAGTCAGTGCTCACTTTTTGTATTTAAATATTAAAAAAAATGATTCCACCTGAAAGTGTTACCCATGTGCTTGTGGTAAGTACTCCAAAATTACTGAGACTACTTTAGAAAACTAAAGACCTGTTGCATTTCCTCTTGCCTAAGCTAGCACCTAATGATAAAAAATTATTTTTGGCCAGGCGCCAGTGGCTCACGCCTATAATCCTAACTACTCAAGAGGCTGAGATCTGAGGATCATGGTTCAAAGTCAGCGCAGGCAGGAAAAGTCCATGAGACTATTAACTCCAATATACCACTCAGAAAACCGGAAATGGTGCTGTGGCTCAAGTAGTAGAGCTCTAGCCTTGAGCTGAAGAGCTCAGTGACAGTGCCCAGGCCGAGTTTAAGCCCCATGACCAACCAAAAAAATATATATATTTTTTTTTGGCCAAGAACCTTTTAATAGCCATCTTTGCCTCAAATTTAAGTAATCAGTCACTTTGAGAGTCAACAGCAAAAGAACTGGACTGTGTAATGTGTAGTCTTAATGACATTGTACATTTTATATAAACTATTTACAGAAAGTACTAGTTTAGGCCAGGCATTGGTGGCTCATGCCTATAATCCTAGCTACTCAGGAGGCTGAGATCTGAGGATTACGGTTCAGAGCCAGCCCAGGCAGGAAAGTCTGTGAGACTCTTATCTCCAATTAACCACCAGAAAACCAGAAGTGGTGCTGTGCCTCAAGTGGTAGAGCGCCTGCCTTGAGCTGAAGAGCTGAGGGACAGCACTCGGGCCAAGTTCAAGCCCCACGACTGACCTCTCCCATTCCCCCCCCCAAAAAAGTACTAGTTTATGCTTTCTGGGACAAGGGGTAGGTCTGCAGATAGGACTTTTTGTAATCTATGTAAATAGCAACAAGATTTAAGTGATTTGCACAAGGCCTCAAAGTAAGCTCTGAACCTGGATTCCAATGTAGCCTCCCAGCTAGACTCCTTGCTGGGCACTCTATAGAGAGGCGAGGCTCTGGGTTAAGGTGTGGGGAAAACAAATACAAGCAACCCAGCTAGGTACAGTGCTGATACAATGCTGCCAGGTGCTAAGGGGGGCTCACGCCTGTAATCCTAGCTAATCAGGAGGCTAAGATCTGAGGATCAGTGTTCAGAGCCAGCCCAGGAAGGAAGACTTGATCTCCGGCTAACTTCCAAAAAGAAGTGAGGTGTGATTCAAGTGGTAGAGCACTAACCTTGAGCCAAAATAGTGACAGCATCCAAGCCCTAATTTCAAGCCCCAGGACTACCACCACCACCAAAGAAGCTCTAGCCCCTTAGGGGTTTTTTGTTGTTGTTGGTCATGGGGCCTGAACTGTGGGCGTGGGCCCTGTCCCTGAGCTCTTCAGCTTAAGGCTAGCACTCTACCACTTGAGCCACTGCGCCACTTCCTGCCTTTTCTGTTTATGTGTGTATGGTATACTGAGGAATCCAACCCAGGGCCTCGTGCATGTGAGGCTAGCACTCCAGCCCCGTAGCTCCTTGGTTTTGAGGACAGAGTCTTTGTAGCCCAGGCTGGGTTCATTACCTTCTGGTCTCTACCACCCCAGACATGTGCCCCCAAGCTCAGCTCAGGCTGCATCTTTTGATGTATTAAAGAGCTTTTCTCTGGATTTTTTCAGGTGAGAGGTCTTATCAAAAAGGTGTGTGCAGGAAGTGGTGCTGTAGCTCAATTGGTAGAGTGCTAGCCTTGAGCTATAGAGCTAAGGGACAGCGCTCAGGCAAGTAGTATTTTTGTTAGCTGGGCACTGGGGGCTCATACCTGTGATCCTAACTAGGAGGCTGAGATCTGAGGATTGGAGTTCAAAGCCAACTCAGGCAGGAAAGTCTGTGAGACACTTAACTCCAGTTAGTCACCAAAAAGCCAGAAGTGGAGCTGTGGCTCAAATAGTAGAGTGCTAGCCCTGAACACAATAGCTCAGAGACAGCCGAGTTCTGGGTTCAAGCCTCAGGATGGACGGACACCAAGTTTTTATCTTCACGAAATTATAGAACTCAGACAAGGAGAGATTTTCTTTTTTAATATTTGGTTAAACAAAATACATCTTTGTAAACAAACCCAGCACAAGGCCAACAAAAAAGGGGAATAAAAGCAAGAAAAACAAAGCCTAGGGTTGCCCTTACTGGGCATCAGGGTCAGACCTACCCACTTCTTTAAAGGAAGTGGGGCTTTTTGCCCTTGGGCATCAGTATGGGTCCCTGTCCTAAGCACCAGAATTGGATATGAACAGAGAAACCAGCCCTGAAATGTTGAAGCGTCTTTGCATATCCATTGGCTCCTGGACTCTGCGTGCACAGGAGTCCTCTGAAGTGCCGTTTGCACAGGCCCAAGCAGTTTGTGGAGAGGAGCTTCCTCCTCTTCCCAGGAAATGGCTTACTATCACTGACAGTGCCAATGGACCCAAGGTCCTGCTTGTGACAATCAGCAGTGTTGGCTGTAACTTGTGGCTGGTGGTGTTGGAATGTCATTGTGCAGGGGTAGAGCTCCCTGTGGTGCCAAGCAGGTCGGGTAGAAAAGGGAGCAGAAGAGACTTCAGCCAGCTGCTGAGAGAGCATAACGAGTAGCTGCTTGGGCCTCTTGTTAAACAATTTGGCATAAAAAACAGCCTTGGATTGAAGATACATGTGCAGAAAAAGTGCTGGTGTAAACATGCACTCCAGTCACGGGAAGGGAGCCTCAGCTTCCCCCCACTAAGCTTGCTCAGAACCAACATGCAGGCCCAGGCTGGCTCTGCTGCTGGAGAGAAGTCTGGCCAGTGGGGCAGCTCTCAGACTCGCCAAGACCACTCATCTGCAAGGGTTGGCCTGCCCACCCCTGCATCCCCACCTGCCTTGCACCCACAGCCGCTGCGATGACAAGTGGTAGGATGCGTATTTCCACTGTCATGTTTTCCAAAGTTAGAGGAGAAGGGTGGCTTACAACTATCTCAAGAGGTAGGGGTGAGCTGGTCCTAAGCTGACCAAAAAGGACACAACATGACGTACCTAACTAACCTCCATGACTGTTTGTCAGTCATGGCCTCTGAGCCCGGGACTTGTATCTAGCTACTCATAAACACAGAATTTAACACCACTTTTCTCACCCAACTCTAGCCCAATTAGTGGCATTTATTGGGGTTTTGCCAGAATGGGCCAACTGGAAAAATTGTCTCCTTGTCTTTTGGCCCAGAGAGCATTCTACCCAATGTAGTGACATAATAGGGACAAAACTGTCCTGTACAGCTCTGGCCACACTCCCTTTGGCAACTCCCACCTTTGCCTTGCTAGAATGCTTGCTTGAAATACCAGAGAATTCCTCATAAAACTCCAAGGTGACTATAAACCACTCTCTAAAATGGGGTGAGGGAATGGACTGGAGGCATGGCTCAAGTGTAGAGCGCCAGCTGGGAGAGAGAATGGGATGAAGGTGGCGTTACAGGTCGCAGGTGGCATGAAGTGCCACTGCTGGGTTTTGGAGACAGTTTCCTGAGACACTTACTATGCTCTAGGTCCTTTGAGCCAGTCACTGGGTTCTCAGGGTCTTCAGACCCACGTGCCACAGGGGAGGCAAGAGGCCTCCGTGAGCCTGAAGCAGCAGTGACACCTGGAGCAGAACCTCCATCAAGCTCTCACAAAAGAAAAAATCTGCAAGGCTCACCTAGCCTCTCAGAAACAGAACAAAAGCTCTCTTTCAATGGCTTTCCCTAAGTGCTCCGAGCTCCTACCTTCCTTCCCAGGCACAGACAAAACTGGGTGGTTCTTAGAACAGTCCACACATCTGTCCTACTGCACTGGCAAATCTGAAGGGGAAACTCGATGAGATGTTTGGGGAACTAGTCAGGGCAGACCCACTTACAGGCCACCCCACATCACAGAGGGCTGAAGATTGAGGCAAGAGCCAGGCTGGGTAGAACCGGACTACACATCAGCCCTCCAACTCTGATGGGCTTCTACCTCTTCTGGTACCACCAGCAGGAGTTCACAGTTCTTCCCTCGCAAATGATGTTTTAGAAATTTCCTATAGAAGGAATAGCAAGAGAGAAAGTCAACTGGTGAATTGTGGAGAAATCCCAGTCCGGGATCCCAGTCCCACGCCTCCCCAGCATCCTCATCCTTGATGTCCATGGCCACCCTAAAGCATACTAGTGGGGAGTGATTCTCGGAAGGTTACATGTTTGGTTTCCAAACATCCAGCTAACCATGTATTACTGTCCACACTAGCCAGTTCTGTGAGAAATAAGACACAAAAGTAACTCTCTGTGGCCATTCTCTGAATGAATAGAAGGAACATGATGGTGGCCTCACCAGAGTAGGGGCCAGTCTCCCAAGCTGTGGAACCTGCCTACCGAAGATGGAGGCCCTAAAGGTCTTTCGAGTCTGAGGCCCTGTGATACCAAGCAAGGCAGGGAGATGTAGGAACTTCATTTTCAAGTAACCAGAGATGAACTCAATTTATCCAATATAGCAAACAAAGGAGCTGGCAGCTTAGCCACCCAAGGAAGATTACCTGAGCTCACTCTCGCCTCCAATCCATTCTGGCATCTTGAGTTTGGAGTCGAGGTTGTAGTATGCTCCTCCCACCTCTCGAACACAGATCCAGTGCTGCCTTTTGAGAGGCAACTTGAGTGGACCCCAGCACAGGCTGGAGGGCAGGTTCATGATGAAGCCCATGACATTAGTGAGGGCAATGACACCAACATCCCTGCAGAACAACAATGGGACAGGCTGAGGCAGCCAACCTTGGAGGTCCCCCCAAAGTCAGGCCAGAAGTGCCAGCACTGGGGGCTTGCACCACCCTGCTGGGCTCCATCAAGTCAGACCAGTTCTCATTACCTGCGCTTGTCCCACCAAACAGCTTCATAGCCTTTGGTTTGAAGTGCTGCCATGATGACATTCACATCGTAGTTTCCATTTCCCAGCATGCTCTTCTTGTGGGGTGTCACCATGGTGTTTGGAGACAATCTAAAATGTGGCAAGAACAGGGCTGAGACTGGCTGGCCTGCTCAACCTCCCCAGCGTGGCACTATCAGAAGGGCACCGCACATCGCTGCCCTGTGGTTCCTTCCTAGTATTTTTCCTACCCTAAGAATTACCCCTCTTTTTATAGAAAACAATTCCAGAGAGGGTGGACCTACCTGCCTCCTTTCAGGAAGTGAAGTCAATGGACACAATGTTCTGTGGAAGTGTCTCATTTGTGAAATCCCTATCCTACTGCAGCCTTCCTGCCTTTGATGTGTGCCTGTAATACTAGCACTTGGAGACCAAGTTATGGACCAGCCCAGGCAACCTAGTGAAACTCTTTCTCAAAAAAATTATCAAGCCAGACACTGGTGGTTCACTCCTGTAGTCCTAGCTACTCAGGAGGCTGAGAGCTGAGGATCGCAGTTGGAAGCCAACCTGGGCAGGAAAGTCGCCTTTAGTTCAAACTCCACAACCAACAACAACAACAAAAATCAATTGTGCCAGGCACTGGTGGCTCACACCTGTTGGAAGCCGGCCTTGGCAGGAAAGTATGTGAGATTTATTTCACACACACACACACACACACACACACACACACACACACACACACACACGGCTCAAGGGGTAGAACACTAGCCTTGAGCAAAAAAAGAAAAACAAACTCAGGGACAGTGCTCAGGCACTGAATTCAAACAAAAAACTTTCTCCATACATAACAACACTAATTTTTTTTTTTTTTTTTGGGTCCGGTCATGGGGCCTGAACTCTGGGCCTGGGCACTGTCCCTCAACTCTTCAGCTCAAGGCTAGCGCTCTACCACTTGAGTCACAACGCCACTTCCGGTTTTTATTCTTTCTGTTTATGTGGTGTTGAGGAATCGAACCCAGGGCCTCATGCATGCAAGGCAAGCGTTCTACCACTGAGCCACCTTCCCAGCCCAACACTGATTTTTTTTTTTTAATGGAAGTATTAGAGATGGGATCAAGGGCTTCACACCTGCCAAGCCAGACAAAGAGCTCTATGGCTGAGTTTTATCCATACTGCTAGTTTTCAAACATACTCCCACCACTGCTTCAAGCCACCAACTCCCCCAGCCCTTATACGCAACATAAACATCCTGCCCACCTCCCACCTCTTACTGGGCCCCCTCCTTTCTGCCCTTCATAGAAAGCTCTTTCTTACTTTGTGAGAAAGAGCTCATTCATGACCCTGTCATCTGGAATGTACTTCACTCAGACCATCACTTGCTTTTGTTCGTTATTAGGATCTCAACTATTCCTACCATAGAAAGGCCTTTTCTGACCACTTGCCTGTTTCTCCCAGCCACTGCCTGTCTACTCACCTTTGGCTTAATTATAGCCATTTCTAAATATGGATGCATTTTCTCATGTCTTTTTCCACACAAGCAGGAGAGCAGAGGCCTCTCTACTTCTCACTGTATTGCTTGGGTCTAAAAGGAGCCCACCTCACACATGACAGACACTCTTGTGTTTATTTTTGTTATTCTGTGTCTTCCTCTAGAATTATCAGTTCTCTTAAAAGTAAAAGAGCTACCTGCTTGTCTCCAGAGCAAAGATGGAAGAATGTGACAAGGGCATTCTGATTCCACGCCCTGCAACCAAATGTTCTTTAACCTGTAATAAATACCATGTGCTGAAAACCTGGGCCAAGCACTGTGCTTTCCTATGTCTTTCATTTAATCCTTACAATAAACCTATGTGGATATAAATCATTTCTACTTTGCAACCCTGAGGTTTGGTGATTCTAATGAACTTATCCATCTGCAATCAAGAAGTATCAGAATTAGAATTCAAACTTGAGTTTATTGAGAATATCTGAAGTTATGATACCGTACAGCCAGGACCCAAGAATCAGAAACGAATAGGGGTGGCAGGCTGCTAAGAGGAAAAGGCCAGCTGAGTCCCTGAGGCCTGGGACTAAAACATAGCTTAATAGGACAAAGTCCTCCACCCCTCCACCACCCCTTCAGTGAGAAAGCATAGGCAAGAGGACTGAGCTGAAGCTCTAATGGGTCTTTTCCCTCTACCCACTCTTGAGTAGCCTCTCATTCCTTACAGTGACCACTAACTACAAGGAAGAACCCCACCCCCACCCAGGGACAAGGCTGTCTCCAATTCCCACCATCTGCCTCCCTCCCACCACACTCACAAGTTTAAGTAACACTCTCCTGATTCCATGCTCCTTACTAAGGGATCTAGAGCCAAGTGAGGAAACCGGTTTCCTACAGGAATTCCAGGAGTGCATAATATGTTATTCTTTACCTTGAACCTCCAGAAAAAGATGTTATTTATATAAGATGTTTCAGATCCAGGTAACAGTGGCTCGTGCCTGTAATCCTAGCTACTCAGGAGGCTGAATCTGAGAATTCAGATCAAGGTTTAAAGGACAAACAAATTCAAGAGTCTTATCTCCAGTTAACTAGCAAAAGGCCAGAAGTAGAGGCACGACTCAAGTGGCAATGCACCAGTCATGAGAGAAAAAGCCAAGCAAGAGCCATAAGGCTCTGAGTTCAAGCCCTCCCCCATAACCTCTCCCCAACATTTTGTTCCCGAAGACAAAGTGACTACATGAACATTTGTCCCACAAGTGGTATTCATGGCCTTCACCTCATATCTCAGATTCAAATCCTTTTTTGTCTACTTCTACTGCTTCTAGCCTCACTGGGGCCTTATACCCAGACTTCTGAAAGAGCTTTCTAAACTGATCTTGCTTCCACACTTTCCTTCCACCAGTTCTCTGTACACTCCTGGCCTGCTCACCACAGCGTCATTTCACTCTCCTCTATGGAATGATGGTGGAACTAACTGCCTACCTTACCTTTCCTGGCCACCTCCCAACCCGAGCCCAGCTGAGGCCTCCCCCCTCTCCTGGGATGTAGGGCACTGCAAGCACAACTGCCAGCCGTTCTTTACCTACTTGTAGCTCCAAGTGAAATCCCACCGCTTCTTCAAACTCAACCCCACGGAAGCTGACCTGACTCTCTGAAACAGGACACACACATACACACCTGGATGCACATTTAGCATCATCCATACCAATTGTGAGACTGACTCTCCAAGACTGCCACCTCGTCTAGAAAATGGGAATGCTTCTACTTTATAGGAATGTTGAAGAAGTCACACTTTATATAAGTCCAACCAGATAATAAATTCCTGGAACCTTTTTACTTTTGACTCTTATCCCTCAGAGCGCCATTAACAACTGAATAAACATGTTGCCCAAGTGAGCAATACAGGAAATGCTGAGCAGTTTCCATCCCTTTCTACAGGGCTGATTACCTCCCAACACATCCATCATGTCAACTTATTTGCTTTTACTTTGTTATTTTATTTTATTTTTAATTTTTTTTAAATTTTTTTTTTTTTTTTCAGGTAAGGGGTAGGTTTATTCAGTAGACCTGCTGGGACCAGGCAAGGTTGGCACTCCACATGGCTGGGAAAGGCCTGGGAAGGAGAGAAAGCTGGGAAAGAGAGGAAAGAGCTAGAAAAGAGCAGAGAGAGGGGTGAGAACAGTAGCACTCACGTGGTATTCAGGTATTCAGAAGACCTGCTGGGACCAGGCAAGGTTGGCACTCCACGTGGCTGGGAAAGAGAGAGGAAAGAGCTAGAGCAGAGAGAGAGCAGAGAGAGCTAGAAAAGAAGAGCAAGAGCAAGAGAGCTAGAAAAGAAGAGCAAGAGCAAGAGAGCTAGAAAAGAAGAGCAAGAGCAAGAGAGCTAGAAAAGAAGAGCAAGAGCAAGAGAGCTAGAAGAGCAAGAGAGCTGTTTTTTTATTTTTTTAGCCAGTCCTGGGGCTTGAACTCAGGGCCTGGGCACTGTCCCTGAGCTATTTTTTGCTCAAAACTAGCACTCTACCACTTGAGCCACAGCATCCCTTCTGGGTTTTTCTGTTTATGTGGTACTGAGGAACTGAACCCAGGGCTTCATGAATGCTAGGCAAGCGCTCTACCACTAAGCCACCTTCCCAGCCCTTACTTTCACTTTAAAAATAATCAAATGTCTACTGGCTTCGCTGCTTCAATGGGCTGATAACTTAATCCAACAATTTTTTGAGATACTGTAAATAAGGAAGCAGAGGTGCAAAGGTTACAGTGACTTGCACAGTCACTCACAGCTAGTGAGAGCACCGCCAGATTCAGTCTCTACATCTGAGACAATACTGAACTCCTTGGGACCCACTCTGCAACTGCACGCCACTGGATCCTGAGAGAAAGTTTCCTTGAGACTCCCTGGCAAACTCCAGTTCAGGAGTGTTTTACTGACTTGCACAGAAGTTCTGAGCTGTGCAACAAGCCCCTGCTTGTCACAGTCAGAACTGACAAGCTCTAAGGTGGTCTCTAGTCCAGGTGTCTACTAACCTCTTCAGGTAAGTGCCCTTGCCCACACCCATGCATGCACACTATGACACTTGAGCAGTGACTCTGATTTTTTTTCTCTGGGATCAAGCTTCATCATTCCTGACTCTTCCATCCTGGGGCTCCTGATGGCTGACCAGTTCAGATCAGTTCTTTCTAAGTGTCTACTTATTTCTACTCCAAGTGTGAGTCATTATCTCACATCCAGGACTCATGGAACTCCACCCTTCTTTCCTATTTCTCTCTTCATCTGGCTATGATTCAACTGCTAGAATGAATTTCCTCTCAGTAAAATAGCACTTATCCACACCTTTTTCCCTTTTCTAATTCCCTCTTCAAAGCACCATAGAACTTTAGGTCTATAAACTAAGTAAAGCTATTGAAACTTACCAGCTTTACCTCTCTTACCATTGAGATGGAAAGAGACCATCTTCCCATTGTGAAAACTGCTCCCCGTTCCTGGCTCTGAGCTTCAGGCCTGCTCAGCAGCTGGCGTGTTTTTGTTCCTGTGCCTCCCAGTGCCTGGCACACTGCAGGCAGCTCTCCATGTTTGTCTAAAACATTCCTTCCTCTCTCTTTCACCTCTTCCCGCTTCGCTTTTCCTCAGGATTCCTTCCACACTTGGTTGTTGTTGTTCCCACCTATCCACACAGAATCAGTCCAAATAAAAATGTTCTTTATAGAATCCCACTTCTGGAATTCTCTTATACACTGGCTGGCTTTTAGTCTGAGGTGGTTCTTTATGGTGTGTTGACAGGAAGCAAAGCAGTGCAGTGGAATGTGTGAAACTTTGAAAGGAAGAGGACCCTGCTTTCATGTGAGTGGTTAGCAGACAGTTCCCACAGGGAAAACACTACTGCAAAATCCCTGTTATTCTCCACTAACTGAATGACCATAGTCTACACCTTCAGTGCCGGACTGACTCCACTTATTTGCTAGCAGGGGCAAACAACTACTAATCCAAAACTCCAACAAGGCTTTCCCATCAGTAGCAAGCAAGCAGCCCTATAATTATAAAGCATGGAACCAAATCCTGCCATTAGTAACTAGTAACTGTGAACTAAGCCAAGTGGTGGCTCACACCTGTAATCCTAGCTACTCAGGAGGCTGAGATCTAGAGATCATGGTTTGAAGCCAGCCCAAGCAGGAAAGTTTGTAAGACTCTTATCTCCAATTAACCATCAAAAAGCCAGAAGTGGAGCTGTGGCTGAAATGGTAGAGCTAGCCTTGAGAAAAACAAAGACAAAAACAAAAAAGCCCCCCAAAAATCTCAGGGACAGCACCCACACCCTTAGTTCAAGCCCCAGGACTGGCACAATAAGTAAATAAACAACTTGTGAGCTAACTCTGAGTGCCATGATTTCCTCACCTGGAAAAACAGAAAATAGAGCTGGGTGCTGGTAGCTCATGCCTGTAATCCTAGCTACCCAAAAGGCTGAGATCTGAGGATCACAGTTGAAGCTGGCCCAGCAGGAAAGTCCCTTAAGACTCTATCTCCAACTAACCACCAAAAAGTGGAGCTATGGCTCAAATCGTAAAAACTCAGAGACAGTACTTAGTACTTGAGTTCAAGTCCCAAGACCAACATGCAACTTAATTAGCATAAGGCAGGCACTCAAAAGGTGTTTTCCACATGGTGGTTATATGTTAGTGGTCTCTTCAGCATTATACCTCTTGCAAAGTACCAAGCACACTCAGCTGCTTGCTGTGAATCCTTTTCCCTGGTTTTAGATTGGGAAAACAGTTTACATGTAGGGATATAAGAAATATGAATGGCCTGTGAGCAAAGAAGTGTTTGTCCTTTCTCCTCCTTTTTGTCACGGGACTTGAGTGATTTGAAACATATTACTTATCTCCTCAGCCCCATTTCCTGAAGTATGAACTCAGTTTGCTGCCAGGATGACCCTGATGCAAAGGACACATTTGTCCTGCTGTAGTGAAGGCATTACTCTGGTTATGAGTGACACTGGAGAATAAGTGCTCTCACTATAGTTCTGGGCACACATTCAGATTACCATTCTCTTAAGAGAAGGCCTAGTGTTCTTTCAGGTTAAATGGTCCACACCTATGTTTCCCAAACAGCTCTTTCTGGCTGTAATTCACATTTTTTTTTGGGGGGGGGAGGGTAAGAGAGGTGGTCCTGGGGCTTAAACTCTGGGCCTGTGCTCTGTCCCTAAGCCTCTCTATGCTCTAGGCTAGTGCTCTACCACTTGAGCCACAGTGCTACATCCAGCTTTTTTCTGTCTATGTAGTACTGAGGAATTGAACCCAGGGTTTCATGCATGCTAAGCAAGCACTCTACCACTAAGCCATATTCCCAGCCTTTTTTTTTGTCAGTCGTGGGACTTGAACTCTGGGCCTGGGCACTGTCCCTCAGCTCTTCAGCTCAAGGCTAACACTCTACCAATTGAGCCACAGTGCCACTTCCAGCTTTTTCTGCTTATGCGGGCCTCATGCATGCAAGGCAAGCACTCTACCACTGAGCTACCTTCCCAGCCCCTGTAATTCACATTTTTGTGTGCAGAAATATCATCTCTAAGTGAAGGTCATCTGGAGCTGTCAATATGCACTGCTTAAAGAATTCTTGAGTTTTCTCTAACCTGAAGATTAAGTCTCTAATTGGAATAATCAGACAGGCTTACTGCTGAAGTTCTTATAGACTGCAGACATGCTGCAGTGTCTACTCAGATAATGCAAAACTAGTTCTCAAGAGAACTAGTAAGAGAACTGTAATCTTTTAAAATAATTCTGGGGTTTTATTGACAGGGTCTTTCTATGTAGCACAGACCGGCTTAAAACTCATGACCTTCTTTCCTCTCAATTTCTGGAATTACAAGTATATATCATCACCACCACTCCCAACTAGTGAAAGAATTTTAGAAAATCAGAGTAAAGAACAGAACTATTGGGTGTCAGTGGCTCTGGCCTATAATCCCAGCTACTCAGGAGGCTGAAATCAGGAGAATATTGGTTCCAGACCAGTGGGAAGAGGGTGGTAAAAAAACAAATCAGTAAGAAAAGCTGGCAGTGATAGCAGGTGGCTGTCATCCCAGCTGTAACATAAAGCATAAGTAGGGAGATCAAGATCCAGGCCCAACAGGACAAAAAGAAAAAGAACAGCAAGAATCTATCTCAAATAACTGTGACTCAAGTAAGAGCTTAGGAAGTATGAGATCCTGAATTTAAATCTCAGTACCATTAAAAAAAAAAAAAAAGAATAAAAAAAAAAAAAAGCTAAACTTCTTTCCACTGTAGGATGACTTTTATTCTAAGCAGATCAGACAGAAATGCTATTTAGAACAAAAGTAGAAAAGGAAAGCCAGTAGCTCATGCCTGTATTTCTGGTTACTCAGGGGGCTAAGATCTGAGGGATGCAGTTCGACGCCAGCCCAGTGAAGAAGTTCATGAGACTCTTTATCTCCAATTAACCAGCAGAAAGTCAGAAGTAGAACTGTAGCTCAAGGGCTGAGCCTTAGACTTGAGCAATAAAACACTCAGGGACAGCACCCAGGTCCTGACAGGACAGGACCAGCACCAAAAATAAATAAAAGTGAAAAGAGGGATGGATCTGGAGTCAGCTCCAAATGATAACTATGCTAGTTAAAAGCTACTTGCACTAACAACCTGACCTTTCTACCCATTTCTCTATCAGTAAAACAACAGAAGGCCAAAGAATGTATTAAAAAAAAACTAAGGCCAGCACACTATATCTCCAAAAACCTGAACACCATGGGTATACCTTTCTTGTGCTAGCCATCACATTACACCTTCGGTGACAGGTGACATTTCTTATCTGCTTCCAGACTGTAAACTCCTTTGTGTCAGGGCTTGAGAGAGGAAGCATTATTCAACTCAGTTGCCAACAGCAGAGATACAAATCTGAATTCAACCCTGGCTCCAACACTTATGTTACCCTGGACAAATTCGTGCACTTCACTCAGCCATCTTCATCACAAATTACAAATAATACTGATAAGCCAGGTACTCATGGCTCACACCTGTTATCCTAGCTTCTCAGGATGCTGAGATCTGATGATTCAGGTTTGGAGCCTGTCTGGGGAAGGAAAGTCTGTGAGACTCTTACCTTCAACTAACCAGCAAAAAGCTGGAAGTATGGCTCAAGTAGTGGAGCACCAACTACTAAGGGACAGCATCTAGGCCTGGAGTGTTAGCATAAGCCCCAGTGTTAGCACACAAAAACAAAGAATTACTATAACAGGGGTTCCACAGGGTTGCTTACTGGAGATAGCAGTAATCATAGGCTGGATGGCAGGCTATTATTCCCTAGCAAGTGGTCCATATCTGGTGGCAATTCTCTCATTCCTGTGCCCCTTATGCCTGCTGATGGCATCTAGCTAATCTGTGCAGGGATGAAAGTTTATGTCCCTAAGCCATTGCCCCACCCACCCAAACTCAAAAATACCGAAGAAGTGGGCATCCAGCTGCCAAGAAAGGGCACCCTACCTCTGGAAAATCTCCTGCAGCGTTTCCCGCGTGAAGGCGGTGCTGTCCTGGAAGACGTTGTTGAGGGCGTGGAGGGCACAGAGCTCGCGGCGCTGTTTCTCATGGTAGATTTGGGGGGGTGTCCCCTGGGGCAGCTCCAAGGATTCAGATTTGGCCTTGTCTCCTTTCCATGGCATGCAACTCATGTTTTTTGTTGTTTTTTTCGTTTGAGGGTCCAGAGAGGGCTGAAAACACCCCCCTCTTCCTCCAGAGGAAGATGTACACTGCTGTCTTTTCAGGATTCCTGAGGTCCACCTTATTTTCTGGTGTCCATAATTTATGCTTTGTCACTGGGAGAAACGGCTGCTTGCGATCAAAAGGGGGAGGGAAAAAAAAATCCACCTCTTCTCAATAGAAAAATAACTTTAGTTTATATTGCCAGCCCTGTCAAAGTGCAGAATTTTTTAAAAATCATATAAAACGTACGACGTTGTTTGCCCTTTTGCACAGCCCCTCTCCCGCCCCCCCTTTCCAAACAAACAAACAAACAAACTCGATTTTCTTGATGTCTTTTTCCTCTCTGCAAATGCCAACTAGGCCTCAATGCGGGAGGAGCGAAGGGATTTGGTCACATCGCTCTTTTTCTTCCATTTCGTTCCGATCACGAGGCCGCCACCGACTCCGAAGGCAAAGCCTAGGGGTGTGGATAAACGCACGGTTCAATTCGTGGGATCGCCGGGGTCCCGGGCGCAGCCCTCCATGCCCTGGGGCGGGCGCGGTGACGAGGCGGGCAGGCGGGCAGGGCTCCCCGGGAAGCTGGGGCTCGTCCTCTCGTCGCCGCCCTGAGGAGGAGACGACTCGGGTCAGCGCCGCGGGCGCACCCGGCCCCCGCCCGCGGGCAGGTCCAGCGCCCGCGGAGGCCCTGGAGGGTGGGGCCGGACGTTCGCCGCGCCCTCCCGCCAGCGGGGACCCACCGGGCTCGCCGCCCCGACCCCGACCTCCCCGCCGTCACGTGAACCGGAGCCCAGGCGCCCTCCGGTTCTCCCCCCCCCCCCCTCCACCGTGACCACCACCCGGCTCCCTACCCCGCCGAGACAGACTCGCCGCGGGCCGCCAGCCGCCCGCTCACCGCCGCGGGGCCACCGCCACCTGGAGCTGTGGACCGCCACCTGGGCCGCGCGCGCGGGCGGGCGGGCGGGCGGGCGCGCGCACCTGAACCCGACGTCGGCCGCCCCGGCTCGGCGCGCGCTCCTGAACGCCCTCCCGCGACGGTCCCGCCCTCGCGCGTCACGCCTGACGTCACCAGCGCCGGCTCCTCCAGCGCCGCGGCGGCCGCCGCGCGCGTGCGGGGCCGGCGCCGGCAGCGTGGAGCGGCCCGAGGGCTGCCGGGATCGGCGGATTGCCAGATGGCGGGGCTGCGGAGCCCGCTGGCGGCGGCAACCGGGCTGATCGCTGTCTGGCCCCTGGGCTGTTTCCGCCCTGACAGGGAGTCCCGCTTCGCCCCGCCCTCCTCCGGACCGCGGCGCTGTTCCGGGACGGCTGCGGGACCCCGGGCTGCCCTGCGCCGCCCTCCCCGGTGCTCCCCACTCCGGCCTGGGCGTCGTGAGCTTGGACTTCGGCTCCTGCCGTGACGTGTCATGTGTGTGTCGCGCGCCGCTCACCCGGTGTTTCCAAAACTCGGTAGTGACGCGGTCGGGCGCAGTCTCTCTGGGTCAGCGCTGAGCCCGAGCGGCTCGCGCTTCCCGGGATGGCCGAGGGTAAGTGCTCGCTCGGGAGTCGCATTTCCAGTGGAGAGGCCTGTGTCGGTTCCTTGGCGGATTCCCTGCGCGCAAACCGCTGCCCTTCTGCCCTGCACTCCGCTGCCATGGTGGCGGTCACGGATGTTCCCCCCCTCACCCCTGCATTTTCTCAAGCACGTTGTGTGAGTCTGAGACACACTACTTGCAGTGTCATGTGGCTTCCCCCCCCCATTGTTGGCTGGTGTGACAAGCATCACTATCCGGGTTAAATGTCCTCCTTTTGGATAAAAAGAATAAAAACGCGCACTCGCAGTTCAGTCGTTTCTTTGATCTTGCTCCCCCACAACTCTCATGACCAGTCTAGCCTGTGAGGGCCATCTGGCTGTGGCATCTGTGATCCTGTTGATGCCCAAGGTTGATTAGATGATGGCTGCCTAGGCCAGGTGTGACCCCTCTCTCACCTCTCTGTGAGCCTTTCTCCTGAAGCTGCTCCCTCTAGGAAAACATTCCTGGATAGGAGGACCCACTGTCGGTCAAGGGTATGTCAATGGAGCCCAAACCTCCAAACAAGCTCTAAGAACGATTGCAGTCTGCAGTGTTACTTAACACATCTGAGTTACTTCCTCAAACTAATTGGTTGGGATTTTTTGTGTACCAGTCTTGGGGCTTGAACTCAGGGCCTGGGTGCTGTGCCTGGCCCTTTCTGCTCAAGGCTGACACAGTATACCACTTGAGCCACATCTTCATGTCCTGCTTTTTGGTGATTAATTAGAGATGAGTTTCATGGGCTTTCCTGCCCCTGCTGGCAGGAACCTCAATCCTCAGATACCAGACTCCTGAGTAACTAGGATTACAGGTTTGAGCCACTGGCACCTGGCATACTACTTTTGTAACTTTAAGTCATTGCAGGGTTATGGTTATAACACAGATTAGTTATTGAGAGCTTGACGTGCAGCCAATACAGTTAACCAGAAGTGGAGGTGTGGCCCAAGTCAAGTGACAGAGGGCCAGCTGTGAGGGAAAAAAAACAAGAAATCAAGGTCTTAAATTCAAGCCCCAGTGCCCTCTCACCCCTGCCTCCCCCAGATACCTCGTTGAGTGACTTAGGACCACTTTGTAGTAGATTAAGGATCTGAACCTAGGCTATCCTATTTTCAAAAAGTAGATAGAAAGAGGGGTAGGAAAGTTAGGCATGGTGGTGCACAGTTGTAATCTTAGTATTCAGGAGGCCAAGGCAGGGCGATCCAGAGTTCAAAACCAGCCTGGATTATATAGTGAGCCCCTGGTTTTTGTTTGCTTTAAAGAGATCAGAAGGGTTTGCCAGGTGCCAGTGGCTCACACTTGTAATCCTAGCTACTCAGGAGGCTGAGATCTGAGGATCGAGGTTCAAAGCCAGCCAGGGCAGAAAAAGCTGTGAAACTCTTATTTCCAATAAACCACTTAGAAAACTGGAAGTGGCGCTGTGGTTCAAGTGGTAGAGGGCTTGCCTTGAGCTGACGAGCTGAGGGACAGTGCTCAGGCCCAGAGTTCCAAGACCCATGACCCACAAAAAAAAAAAAAAAAGATGGGAAGGCCCATTTGCTGGTGGCTCACACTTGTAATGCTAGTTCCTCAGGAAGCTGAAATCTGAGGATCTCGGTTCAAAGCCAGTCTGGGCAGAAAAGTCCCCATGAGACTCTCACTCCAATTAACCACTCAAAACTGGAAGTAGAACTGTGGCTCGAATTGGTAGAGCATTAGTTAGCCTTGAGCGAAAGAACTCAGGGACGGTGCCCTGGCCCTGAGTTTAAGCTCCATGACCAAAAAAAAAAAAAGACGGGAAGGGAATTTCCTCTAAAATGTTACCTTAGCCTTCCTCCATTCAATTTCAGAAGCATCTAATCAGAATATGTTCTCTGGGTAAAAACCTGAAATGGAAAGGGCATTAGTCAGTTTTTAGTCAGATATCAGCTGTTAGCACATTGTGAATTTAAACTTTTTCTGGAAGAGTTAGTAAGATGCTAAATACCAGTCTGAACAATATATCCAGTACAACCCAGCAACACTAGTCACCAAAATGTGTGTATTTCCTCCCCCTACCTCTAGCAACCAATCAGATTCTGCAGCAGACAGCAAGTAGGCACCCCTTAATTTAATTACATTCTCTTGCCACCTGGAGATAGCACCGGATCCAGATTCCCACAGGTTAAGGACCCCGGCCCACAAAACTGCCTCTCCAGGTGCCAGTTTGCAAGTCTGTTCTTCTAAAATTTATGGTGGACCAGAACCCTATATAAATCAGCGTTCCTGTGACCCTCTCGATACAATTAATTTGCTCACAGAACTACATGTAGGTTTAGCAGTTGATTGTAAAGAATATTGCAAAGGTGCCAGATGAATAGAGGTGCCAGATAATAGAGATACACAGGTACTTGTGGACCCTCTCTGGATGTCACTCTCTCTGGAAGCCTCTGTATATTTGGCTGTCTAGAAGATAACACATATACAGTCCTTTTGGAGTATGTTTTGGAAGTCTCATTGCATAGACATGATTGATCAAATTGGTATTGGTGATCTACTTAACCTTTAATCTCCCCAAAATTGGATCTCTGGGTGACTAGCATGTCAAAAAAAAAAAGTCCCAGGAGATCCCAAAGATTTGAAACTTCAACAGGAAGCAGACAAAGACCACATAGATATTTCACATTAAGACAATTATTGTAGAAACCAGTACCTTGATATTAATATTTAGTCTTTTTGTGTGTGGTACTGGGGCTTGAAATCAACCTCACACTCACTTGATGTTCTTGCTCACAGCTGGCACTCTACCACTTAAGCTACACCTCTAGTCACTAGGTTTTGGGGGAGGGTACCAGTCCTGGGGCTTGAACTCAGAGCCTGGGCACTGTCTCCGAGCTTCTTTTGTTCAAGGTTAACACTACCACTTGAGCCACAGCTCCACTTGCAGCTTTTTTTAGTGGGTGGGTGGGGGAGGAGTAATTTATTGGAGATAGTGTTTCACAGACTTTCCTGCTTGGGATTGCTTCAAACTGTGATCCTTGGCCTCCTGAGTAGCTAGGATTACAGGTGTAAACCACTGGTGGCTGGATTAGTCTTTTTTTTTTTTGCCTGTCCTGGGGCTTGAACTCTGGGCCTGAGCACTGTCTTTGAGCTTATTTTGTACAAGACTAGCACTTTATCACTAGAACCACAGTGTCACTTCTTTTTGGAGATAAGAGTCTCACAGACTTTTTTTTATGGGTCATGGAGATGGAACTGTGGGCCTGGGTGCTGTCCCTCAGCTCTTCAGCTCAAGGCTAGTGCACTACCACTTGAGCCACAGTGCCACTTCTGGTTTTCTGGTGTGGTTAATTGGAGATAAAAGTCCCATGGACTTTTCCTTCTCAGGCTGTCTTTGAACTGTGATCCTTAGTCTCAGTCTCCCAAGTAGCCAGGATTACAGGCGTGAGCCACTGGCACCCAGCTTAGTCTGATATTTTTACTGGTTAATTGGAAATGGAATCTCACCGAGGTTTCTGCCTGAGGGGGCTTTGAACCTTGATCCTCCAGGTCTCAGCTTCCACCACTTCTGCCCATTTACCACCAAATCATACCCACGGTCCAATATTTGACTTTTTTAAAGTCAGGATTTTCATTTTTTAACTATTTATTTTGGGACCAGATAGAATATATAGGATGATTTAACCAGGAAAATTTTACAAAAGACCAGAGGAATCTGGAAATTCAGTAACTTTTTGTCCTAGATTACCTTGATCATACCTAGCTGAAAATGAACAGAGTAAGACTGTCTTTCCTCAGAGGTAAATCCATTAAACTAAGCTAAGGTCATCTTGAATCTTGTCCCATGCTCACTACATTATTCTTGCCAAACCATAAGTCTTGTGTATGGGCTGCTTTTTCTAATCTACTGCAGGATGAAAGGCAAAGGGAAGCAGTATTATACCACTATTGATTCCTTTTGTCACCTAGCAGAAGGTATAGGTTTTTCAGACATTTGAAACAAGACTTTAAGGCACCATTGGCATTTGGGGCTTTCCACAATGGTGACACGTTGGGGAAATAATCCATAGGAAACTACCTTAACGAGCCCTGGATCTTGTGGTGAAGTGTTTTTGGCTTGTATTTTTGCTGTCTGTCCTTTGTTGTTGCTGTTGTTGTTATTGTTGCTATTTTCCGTATTTCGCACTTTTTTTTTCAGACAATGAATGGAGAATTCTCCCTAAGGTCAGCGTTTAATTAATTGCCTCACTCTGGCTGCTATACTATTACAACTCTTGGAATATACGGCATCGATTCTACTATTCAATTTGCCTGGAACGTGCCAACTGGACATAGTGTTCCAGTGACTGCCTCTGTCACTGGAGTGGGAGGCTCATTTTGCCGTTTACTATCTTGGCGTGTAGAGGCCTGAGGCGCGGGACCTAGGAGAGCTTAGATTGGGTCCCGCCCCTGTCCATCAAGGGAAGGCTCTTGGCGCTGACTGTTTGGCCGCCAGATTTGGGAGCTGTGTACCGCCCCTGGAAAGCTGGAGGGTGAGGGGGCGGGGTGGGGAAAAGCGTTGTATGAAGTTCTCTGTTCATTGGGCCGCCGCCACGTCAATTATACTAGCTTTGCTCCCGTTGGCGGGAAGATCCCGGGCAGGTAGCGTGGACGTCCTCCGGCCCCCTCCGGAGCTGGGACCGGGCAGCGTGACGTCTCGGACAAATTTGTTGTTGAGATTTGGGCCTCATTAATTATTCATGAGGATATTTGGAAGGACCGCAGCGATTGGCGGCTGGGAATCCCGGTTAATTGTGTCTGAGCTAGAGATAAGTGCGGCTGGAGAAGTTTCGCATAAATTATTCCAACGAGAGAGGGGCGGGCCCGCGCATAGATTAGTCAAATGAGCCGGGAGGAGGGCGGCAGACTGCGAATTAGCCTAAGTTATTAAAGATGGCGGCGGAGCGGAGTCGCTCCCCGATGGACTCGCCGGTGCCGGCCTCGATGTTCGCCCCGGAGCCCAGCTCTCCGGGGGCGGCCAGGGCCGCAGCGGCGGCAGCCCGGCTCCACGGCGGCTTCGACTCGGATTGCAGCGAGGACGGCGAGGCGCTCAATGGCGAGCCGGAGCTGGACCTCACCAGCAAGGTAGGCCCGGGCGGCGGCGGCGGCTCCACGGGGATCCGCGGCGGGCCGAGCCGTCTCCCCGGCGACGGTGGACACCCGGCCGTCCAGTCTTGGGGTAGGCAGGAACGCGGGAAGGGACCGAGCTCGCCCACCGGCCGCTCTCGGAGACGTGCGAGGGCCGAACGATCCCCGAGCCCCCCACGGCCACCTGGGTTCCTGGCGGTGCTGACCCGTCCTCCCGCGCTCCAGGCTCCCGCCGGGATCGCAGCCCCTCGGTCTTGCCACGTGGAACCGGGGCGCTCGACGCCCGCAGCGCGCCGTGGGGGTACTCGTCCCCGCGCCGGGCGCCGGGCGGCCTCGTCCCTTCCTCGGGTTGGATGGGAGACCCAGAGTGTTCGGTTCCCTGGAGCGTCCGGGAGCGGGGCGGCTTGGGCCGCGGGCGGGACGCTCCGGGACAGGTAGTGGAGGGAGAGGAGGCAGCGGGGTGGCCGCCGCATCTGGTCCTGATCTGCGGAAAGGAAACAGAAAGTGGCCGCTCAGTGGGGAGAAGGGTATCTGAGGAATGTCCACCTCGCGAGTCCCCCGAAAACGCGTTCTGTTTTCCACTTGAAAGATGGGCATGACCCCAAATCTCTCTATCTGGGAGTGGAACCAACTCTTGTACGTTAGAGAATAACGAAGGTCCTTTTAAGTAGTGTTTTAAATAAAATTGAGCTGTTAGGAATGGGAGGCAGGGATTAAGGGTTCACCACCTGCCTGGCGTTGTGGAGAAACGCAAAAGTAAGTATAAGATGTAACTGGTGTTTTGAAGGTGCTTAACACAGCCAAAGGAAAGAATGTCAGCTTGGGAGTCTGACAGGCTGGGCTCCCTTTCTTGATCTGCCATTCAAAAGGCTTGTGACCTTGGGAAAGTTTCTTAACCTCTCATTTCTCTACCCGCCTGGGCTTCAGAAAGTACAAATTTGCTGCAAAAATTAGAAGTGTATGTGAAGACATCTAGTGTGTGGTTTTTTGATCCCTACTAGAGACTGCCCATTTGAACTGGATAGCTGGTAGTTCTCTGTGCGGATTAAATAACAACTGATAGAAGACAGAATGTTAGTAATACCTCCTACCTGTGGTAGGACAGTTACAATAGAGATTTTTGTTTTTTGTTTTTTTGGGTTTTTTTTTGGTCGGTTGTGGGGCTTGAATTCTGGGCCTGGGTGCTGTCCCTCAGCTCGTCAGCTCAAGGCTAGCGCTCTACCACTTGAGCCACAGCGCCACTTCTGGCTTTTTCTGTTTATGTGGTGCTGAGGAATCGAACCCAGGGCGTCATGCATGCTAGGCAAGCACTCTACCACTAAGCCCCTTCCCAGCCCTAGAGATTTTTTTTTAATGGAGCTTTGAAAATATTTGTGAATTTTCATAGCTTATGTTGACCAGAAACTTAGTCCTTCGCTGCATCCTAAGTAAGCAATTGCTCAACTGTTCTTTGTCCTTCTAGTCTCAGCACTTGGAAGCGAGGTGGCTCCTGTTTGTCACAGTGGTCCTGTCTGGTTCCTCTAATGCTATCATGAGGGGTGGCAAGCTCAGAGAGACAGAAGGTTGGGGAAAGGGGCGAGGCAATGCGACCCAAGCAGTGTCCAGTTTATTATTGCAAGCTTCTATGAGTCAATTCAGGAAGTTATAGGATAGGCATCTGACTCAGGAGTGGACCAGGTAGAGGTCAATACCCAGCCAAGGTGCTGAAGAAACTTGAAGACAGGAAATTGTAGGGCAGCGTTGCAGAGAGGATGGGACCTTTTATTTTCTGACCAGTCTGTGTAATGGTCTTGGGTAAGGAAGTGATAAAGAGCTGGGAAATCCTCATAGTTTTGAAATTCAGAAGCCAGATATAATATAAATATTGATGGTATTGAAAAGAAAAGCCATGTGGAGGAGTAAAGGAATGGATTTAATAGATTAAGTCCTGAAAAGTGTAAAGCCTAGTGGTTAAGACACACTTACCACAATCTCATGTGGGGACCTAAGGCTCTAAGAAGCTTTTGAAGGGAGAAACAGTGAACATTTGTGGTGAGTTTCATAGAAGAAGGTTTTCCTAGAAACAACTGGGTAAAGAAAACACAGTGACCATTTACTGAGCTGTAGGCTCAATGTTGTACATGCTGTTGTAGTTGGTCTCTACAGTAGCTTTAGGATGTAAGGTGGCATTTCTGTTTTATAGACTGAGATTCAGAGAGGTTAAGTTCTTTGTCCAAGGTCACATAGGAATTGTCTGAGATGCCTCTTGGTGAAAGACTTCCCCAAATAAGTGGTCAGTACTTCAATGTGATGGACAGTATTTACACAGCAATGATGCTTATGCTTACTTTAGTGGTAGTGATATTTTCGTTGATGAAGATGACTCTTCTAGGCAGCTTTCTGTCCTTGAATTTCCAGATGCACACTGCAGGTAGACTGGCACATGGGTGTAAAGCACTGCTCATCAGCTTCTTCCTGTAGTGCCAGCTCCTCAGTTGTTTGGTTCCTGCCCCTCTTATGAAACTCAGAGGCAGGCTGCTTACACCTCTTCGTGGTGGTGGCTCAGATGTACTCAGGTTGTACACCATCTGGATCATATAAGGCTGCTTTAGGAGAGGAAGAGAGGGCATGAGGGGGCTGGGCTGCACAGCTGTTTCCAATTAGGGTACTGTGGGTTTGATAGGGTCTTTGGTCAGGCTGTTGATCAGCTTTGACTGGTGCTGTCTAGTAAGTGTGGTCCTAAGGCTGTTGGTTTCTCTTCTAGCTGGTTCTAGTGAGCCCTACATCAGAGCAGTATGACAGCCTACTTCGGCAGATGTGGGAGAGGATGGACGAGGGATGCGGAGAGACCATATATGTCATTGGGCAGGGATCAGGTGAGCATAGTTTTCCTTTCATTTATTTTAAACAATTATTTAGAGCACATTTGCCTCCTTTGTCACCATTCATATGTCTCAGTTGCAGTGATGCTTAGTGTCGCCAGAACTGTTGGGAGAACATAAGCAGGCAGAGCTCATGTCAGCTCCCACCATAGTGGTCACCATGTGCTTGGCTGTAACGAATCCAAGCAGTTGTACAGATGTTCCCCATTTGCATAAAAGGAAATGAAGCACCAAGCAAGGAAACTTCTTTTCCAAGGTAACAGGACAAGTTTTAGCTCTAGAGTTGGTCTAGCCTGGGAAAATCCAGTTCTTCTCTCCAAGCCCTGTTTATGGATCCCGTCATTCTCTGTATCCTGCTTAGTGGAGAATCTGTCATTCTTCTTTGTGTCAGTAAGGAACAGATGCCCAGAGTTCCTCTTCTCAGTCAGGTTGTGGCCCAGAACACAATGACCATTCAGTCTGGATAGCTGTGATAACAGAGGTCCCGTTTCTCCCCAGTAGATCCTGACAGGCATGCACACTTGAGAGCATGCTAGTTATTGTCATCCAACCTACTTATTCATTGCAATGGGGCCTCCTGTTTTAGAGGAAGGGAGCCCGGGACCGGATCCCAGATGATGTAGAGGAATGGTGCTCCATCCCCCAACACACTGCTAGTTTATCTCCTCAGTACAAGATCAACTTCTTTTCATCTTCCTTATGGCATTATCTTTTCTGAAATATGACACCTGAGATTGTTTCTTTTTTGGTGCCAGTCCTGGGACTTGAAATCATAGCCTGAATGCTGCCCTGAGCCTTTTTACTTACAGCTTGTGCTCTACCACTTGAGCCACCGCTTCACTTCCTAAGATCGTTACCATGAATGAATTCAGCCCATACTGGCATTTGTCTCTTGTCGTCTTTGCAGAAGGCCCCAGGATGGGCCTGGATACATCATTAAGGCAGCAGTTTTCTTTGCTCACTGTAGTCTTTGTAAAGGCAGCTAATAATTCTTTTGTAAATGGAATTGCTGAGCAGGATAGTCTAAGCCTGTCATCCCAGCTACTTGGGAGGTAGAGACAGGAGGGTCACAACTTGGAGGCCAGCCTGGGCAATTTAGGGAGACCCTTAAAAAGTAAAAGGGTTGGAGTATTGCTCAGAGGTAAGATACTCATCTGCTATGTACAAGGCTGGGTTCAATTCTCAAGACTCCCTCCCTCCCCCAATTTTTTCCCCTGACTAGTTGGCAAAAATCAGTTGAAAAGTATCTTTTCACTAGATGCTGATGACTCACTCCTGTAATCCTAGCTAATTAGGAGGCTGAGATCTGAGGATCAAGGTTCAAAGCCAGCTCTGGCAGGATAGTCCATGAGACTCTATCTACAATTAGCCACCAGAAAATGGGAAGTAGAGCTGTGACTCAAAGTAGTAGAGTGCTAGCCTTGAGCAAAAGAGCTTAGAGACAGCACCCAAGCCCTCAGTCCAAGCCCCATGACCAACCTAAAAATAAAAAAATAAAAATTAAAAAGTATCTTCTAAGATTTGATACTGTTGCATAGTTCTTTTGGATACTTTATTTTATTTTTTTCCTGAACTGGGTTTATAACTCAGAGCCTCGCACTTGCTAAGCCAGCACTCTACCGCCTGATCCATACTCCCAATTCTCTATTGAATACTAGAAATCAGGCCTTTGGGGCTAGAGGTGTAGCTTAGTAGTAGCCTGCTTACCTAGCATGTTCTAGGCAGGCCCTAAGTTTGATCCCCAGCATTAGTGGGGGGTAAATTTTATCTTTTTTTTTTCCCCCCTGGTCCTGGGGCTTAAACTCAGGGCCTGGGCGCTGTCCCTGGGTCTCTTTGGGTTTTTTTCTTTTTTTTTTTTGAGTCCGGTCATGGGGCCTGAACTCTGGGCCTAGGTGCTGTCCCTCAGCTCTTCAGCTCAAGGCTAGCACTCTACCACTTGAGCCACAGTGCCACTTCCGGCTTTTTTTCTTTTTGCTTATGTGGTGCTGAGGAATCGAACCCAGGGCCTCATGCATGCAAGGCAAGCGCTCTACCACTTGAGCCATGGCGCCACTTCTAGCCTTTTTGAGCAGTTTATTGGAGATAAGGGTCTCATGGGGACTTTTCTGCCTGGACCAGTTTTAAACTACAATCCTCAGATCTCAGCCTCCTGAGTAGTTAGTATCTGGTACCTTCTTCAAGGAGGAAAGATTTGAATTGAATAGGAAACAGTACTTGGAAATGCCACAAGATGACAAAAGAAAGGTTTGATCTCCAAATACTGATGTACTTCCCTGTGAAATGCGCCTCCTATCTCTCCTCATTCTTGCTGCCACCTCCCCAGTCATGGGTCTTATCATCCAAAAGAAGACTTGGTAAGAGAGATAGGCAGACCCAGGGTGCTGCATGTCAAGAGGGGATAAAGTTGGTTGGCATTGTTGAGTATTCCCCAGGCTGAAAGTACTTTTAGGTTCAGAAAAGGCCATTCTACTTGGTGACTAAGAAATCACTGATAACTTTACCCATGTAATTGTAACCCCTCTGAACAGTATTTTCACAATAAAAAGCTTTTGAAAGCTTGTCCGGTATATGTTTGGCAGGCTTTATTTAATAAGATGAGCATTTCAAAGATCACTTCATGCTTATAGAATTTCAGAAACCACATAAAGGTCAGTTTTGACAAGTGGTATGACTAGTCTTGAAGACTCAGATTTTTCTTTTCTTTTTTCTCTTTTCTTTGCTTTCTTTCTTTTTTTTTTTTAATTTGCGGAGGAAGGTGTTCAGTATGTAGCCCAGGCTGGTGTCAAATTTTATCCTCCTGCTTCAGGCTCTGGGAAAGACCTAGATTCTTAAGACTCCCTCCTTCTTGTCCTTTACTCTGTACTCTGAATTTATTGCCTTGGCAACTCACAACTAATTAACCCTCCTGTGGCAAAGCATAAGATGTCAAACACCCATTAGCCCATCTCCCACACACCCCAGCATTATCCTCCCATCGCCTAGCTGGATGCTATGCTGTGCATAGTGACTCCTGCCTGCTGGATTCTTTAAAGGCAAAAAGAGGTCAGAACTAGTTCAGCAAGTTGAACATCAAACAGACTGAACCAGATGCAGGGGCCCAGGGGTGGGCTTTGTTCTACTTCCTATAGTCCTTGGTGCTTCACCTCTCTGTCATGGCCTTCCTCTGGAGAAGAGGGAATGACACCTTCTCCATCCTGCCTCAGAGAATGGTGTATAAACAATTGGATGTAAAAAAAATTATTTTCTGCTCAGGGCCTGGGCACTCACTGTTCCTGAACTCTTTTGCTCAAGGCGAGCACTCTACCACTTGAGCCACAGTGTCACTTCTGGGTTTCTGGTGGTTAATTGGAGATGAGAGTCTCATGAACTTTCCTGCCCGGGCTGGCTTTGAACCGCGATCCTCAGATCTCAGCCTCCTGAGTAGCTAGGATTACAGGCGTGAGCCACGGATGCCTGGCTCTGTGTGTGTTCTTAATGTAAGGTTGGTATTTTACAAGGAGGCAAGTTAATGGAGCCTTGTGGTTTAGGTTTAGAGCTTGGCAGGGTTGGGTTTGCCTGGGACTTTTTCTTTGTCTCAAAATATGGATAACAATAGAACCTATCCCATGATGAATTCGTGGAAATTCAAAGAAATTACATGACATGTAAATAAATATTAGTATTAGCAGTTGCAGTATTAACATTTTCAGGATCCCAGGCTGTGCGGTTGATTTGCCGTGAGCTTTCTTTCCAACTTTGTTCATTTCCTAAACACTAAATCATGACCTTTTCGGAGTCATGATTGTGACCAGGTGCTCCATTAAAGTACAGGGAACATAGAAGGATGTTGTATCTTCACGGGGGAGGGCGATCAGGAAAGGTTATACGGGCTACTTGGGTTGGTCCTAAGCCATGAACAGGAGTTTCCAGGTAAATGGAGGTGGTGACGAGTGGGCAAAGGGAATGACGCAAGAAGGCATGACACACTGGAGACAGGCGCATTTAGTGGGTTAGAAGTAAGCCAGTAAGGTGAGAGTAGAGAGTGAGGTCAAGAGGGGAGACTGGACAGATAGACAGGGCTCAGGTATGAGGGTCCTTGAATGCCATGCTGAATTGGTTAGACACTTATCCCTAAAGTCTGGGGAGTCATTGCAGCGCACTGGGCTTATGAAAGGTAAATGAACTGGTGGGAGGGAAATCTGATAAGGGTTGTGTGTGGCTGAGTCTCTGGCCTTTAGTAATTGGACCTCTGCAGCTTTTGTCTCCACTCCTAAAGTGAAGAATGCAGTGAGCGCTAGAGAAGGGTAGTATGACCGAGATCCCTGATGGACAAGGTGACGTTGTCGACACATCCTGGTGTGGAGCAGGATCTGAAAGCACTGATTTTCCATATACTGTCAGAGGGGAGTAGGTAGAATTGAGGAGTCCAGGTGGCTTGTATCTGTAACTCCAGCTACTCAAGAGGATCAGGGTTTGAGACCAGTTCAGGCAAAAAGTTACTGAGACCTCAGTCAGTAAACTAAGCATGATGGTACAAGGGAGGCAAAGGTACAAGCATCTGAAAAAATAACCCGAGTAAAAAGGGCTGACTCAAGTGATAGGCCACCTGCCTCACAAGCGTGAGACCCTATGGTCAAACCCCAGTAAAAATATACTGCCCTCCGCAAAACATTAACAGGCGCTGGTACTCAGGAGGCTAAGATCTGAGGCTTGTGGTTCAAAGCCAGACTGGGCAGGAAAGTCCATTGATACTCTTATCTCCAATAAATCACCAGAAAACTGATAGTAACACTGTGGCTCAAGTGGTAGCGCGTGCGCCTTGAGCTGAAGACTGAGGGACAGCACCCAGACCCAGAGTTCAAGCCTTCCGACTGACAAAAAATAAAAAAAAGCCAAAGAAAAATACCTTCTGGCTGGGCACAAGTGGCTATGCCTATAATCCTAGCTACTAGGAGGCTGAGATCTGAAGATCTCAGTTCAAAGCCATCCCAGATAGGAAAGTTCATGAGACTCTTATCTCCAATTAACCACCAAAAGGCCTGAAGTAGCCCTGTGGCTCAAGTGGTAGAGCACCAACCTGAGCAAAAAAGCTCAGGGACAACACCCAAGCCCTGAGTTCAAGCCCTAGGATTAGCAGGTGTCACATGCATATGTGTGCACATGTACACACAGAAGTGCACACAAGATAACAAGATGTGTTCCTTGAGGATCACATATCCCAAGCCCTTCTCTAACCCAGAAAGTGTCCAGAGTTCACTTGCTCATATACTTAGAACCTCTCTTCCTCCCCACAACCTGTTGCTCTGTTTGGGTTCATTTGCATTGTATTTTTACCAATGTTTGGGACCTGAGGTTGAAAAGCTACCCCTGTGGGGCATCAAGGGTCAAGGAATGGTTGAAATACAGTCCCATCCTCAACATGTTGTATGGTCGGGAAGGGCCTGTGTCCAAAGCACCATTGCACAAGGCTGTAAGGGAGAGAAATGTCTGTGGGCCTCTGAGCAGGACAGTGCGTCAGGCCCTTCCCAGGATACCTCCTGACTGGCTCTGGTGGGACAGGAAGTCCATGAGCAAAACTGTAGGGCTGGGACATGTAGGAGCTAGCGGAAGGAGTGCTTGGGCCACGTGGACTGGGGCAGAGCTGATGAGGAGGTTGAGAAGGGAGTATACAAGCTGGGGAGGCCTTAGGGGATTGGGACGGAAAGGCTACTGGTTCTTTACAGTCATTGGGAGGTTTGATGTGGAAGTGACGTCTTTAGAGCTGAGATTCCTTTGGGGACTTAAGTGTGTGGATCTACACAGGATGAGGAGAGAGTAAGCTGGATCTGCTGAGACTAACAGAAAGTCTGTTGCAGTGACTCGGGTAGAATAATGGCTGGAGTCAGATGGGTGGCAGTGGACTGGCGAACAGAGTAGACAGTGAGAAGGAAGGGCATGGTGAAGAGCTGGAATCCGCAGAACTAGATGATGAGGGTGTTAAGCTCAGGTGACCGGAAGGAACGTGTTGTCATTATTGGAAGGGGAAGGGAGATCCACCAACAAGAGGGACACTGGCAAAGGACGAGGCTCTAAATTTGGACTCAGAAGACCACAGTTCATAAGGCCCCACTCTGAGGCCACTGGCTTCTATTTACCCCGCTTTTTTTTTTTTTTTAAAGTAGAATCTCTTTGATCCAGACTAATATTAAATTTACTATCCTCTGATCCCTCCGTGTCTGCCTCCTATAGTGCTGGGATTACAAGCATATGCCACCATGCCTGGCTATTTGCTACACTGTTAAGAGGAAGTAGCAATGCCTACCTAGTGCTTTAGAGGCAAATTATTTGCATGCTGCTGTTTGAAGTGGGTGCTGGTGGTTGAAATTGGATGAGACTTCTAGAGTTATCATCCAGGTCATTGGAAACTTGGTATGGAGCTCAGGGAGGAAGATACTACTCCATAGCAATGTTTTTGAGGTTGTCAAACAGTGGGAGGCTGGAGATGTGGCTTAGTGGTAGAGTGCTTGCCTTGCATGCATGAAGCCCTGGGTTCCATTCCTCAGTACTACATAAACAGAAAAGGCTGGAAGTGGTGCTGAGGCTCTCAAATGGTAGAGTGCTAGCCTTGAGCTGAAGAGCTGAGGGACAGTGCCCAGGCCCAGAGTTCAAGCCCCAGGACTGGAAAAACAACAACAACAAAACCAGTTGGAGCCATAGATGAAGACTCAAGATGAAGCCTCAGGATGGCTAAGGATCAAGTTTAGAGGAAAGAAGATGAGGGTGGGGTGGGGCAGGGGCTTGAACTCAGGGCCTGGGCATTGTCACAAGTTTCCACTTGAGCCACAGCTCCACTTCTGGCTTTTTTTGGTAGTTTATTGGCGATAAGAGTCTCACATACTTTCCTGCCTGGGCTGGCTTTGAACCATGGTCCTCAGATCTCAGCTTCTTGAGAAGCTCGGATTCAGGCATCTGGTGAGAAGAAGGTCTTTGATGACGACAGGTGAGACAATTGGGCCTCAGAAGGCAAGGCAGGATGGCAGCGGTATAGCACGCTGGAAAGCCATTGGTGATGTCTGTAAACTTTCTTCAGGAAAAATAGTCAATTCAGAGCAAGTAGAGTTGGATGGTCTACAAGGTGGGCTACTCTGGAGATATTGATAGCCCAGGAGGTAAACAGGAAAAAGGGAAAGAAGGTGGCTTTCTTTTTCTAGTGAGGTGCTCTACCACTTGAGTCATGCCCCCAGCCCTTTTCTTAGTGTAAATGTGACAGGCTTGTTTCAGGAGAGCATTGGAGAGAGAGGCAAGGAGCACTCCTGGCACAAGGTTTTTAGGTGGCAGAAGAGAAGAGGTTGCTCTGCTAAAGGGGCTCACCCCACAAGGAGCCCAGGGAAAGGCTGAAAGCGCAGGGGTGGGAGTTAAACCCCACAGCACCCAGAAGAAGCTACAGGTGGCTTACGGTATGTAGGCACTGGGGAACAAGAGCCACCCTCCTTCCTTGCCTCCCCTCCTCTTCCTGGACTTGAACCCCTTTTTCACCTGCTTGCTGGCCACGTTACCTGAGCCACACCTCAGTTAAAAGTCTACCTCTAAATAATCCAGAAATCTCCATTTCCTCCACCTTCCGGTCCTCATGGGTTGCGTAGATGACTCGAATTACTTCTCTCTGCTTCCCGTATCTGGCCTCTTGCTTGCTTAGCCATGAGATCTCTGTAACCCACCTTGATTTGATTGTGTTATTACTCCCAGCTTTGCTGCTGTCTGCTGTCCTGCCCCAGCAGCTCTCTCTGGCCGCCCCCCTGTCCCCTAGACTGCACCCCCATCACCCTGAGTGTCTTTCCTGACTGTACCACCCTCTGCTATGCTCCATGCTTTGTCTCACTGGCAGACTGTCCTGTTTTCTCTGTGGATTTCTTTCTCACCCCTGAAGACCAGGTTTGGAGTCAGCGCCCCCAAACTGCCCTTCTCCAGGCCCTGCTTTGCTTTCTTTCTTTTTCTTTTTTTTTTTTGGGGGGGGGGTCATCATGGGGCTTGAACTCTGGGCCTGGGCGCCCTCCCTGAGCTCTTCAGATCAAGGCTACCACTTTACCTCTTGAGCCACAAGGTTACTTCTGATTTTTCTGGTGGTTAATTGGAGATAAAGAGCCTCATGGACTTTCCTGCTTTCCTGCCTGGGCTAGCTTTGAACCTCGATCCTCAGAGTAGCTAGGATTACAGGTCTGAGCCACCTGCGCCCAGCTCCGTGCTTTGCTTTCAACAGCACAGTGCTGGAGCCCTGTTGTAGTTAATTTCTTCCCTCTTGCCTGTGTGGCAGTGAACTCACTAAGGACACCTGCATTCCCAGTACGGGGGCTTAATACCTAGGAGAGTGGCAGTGACTGTAGTTGAGTGAATTGCCCAGTGCCCTGCTTGGTGGGGAAGCCGCCGGCACTGTCACACCTTAACTCTGCGCTTCCTGTTTGCACTCAGGTAGAGACTGTGTTCTCCAGTGCCCAGGCAGGTCCTTGGTTAGTTGGGGCTGACTGGCTGGCTTGTTGCCTGGCTGATTGGTTAGGACTCTCTCTGTGGCTGACGCCTGCTCTCTTGTCACCAGATGGGACTGAGTACGGGCTGAGTGAAGCAGACATGGAGGCCTCCTATGCCACAGTGAAGAGCATGGCGGAGCAGATAGAGGCGGATGTCATCCTCCTGCGGGAGCGTCAAGAAGCTGGTGGCCGTGTGCGGGATTACCTGGTTCGGAAACGAGTAGGAGACAATGACTTCCTGGAGGTCAGGTGAGGAGGCCTCAAAACTGTTCCGGGGTGCTCCGTGTGGAATCATGTGGTTAGCGCCCAGCTGAGAATGATGATGGGGCCTGTGACACCCACCGTGTCAGCTCTCACCTTTCCTGAGTGGGCGAAACTGCCTGGGTTAGGATAGCATCACTGTTTCTGGGAAGTGTAAGAGCGGACACAGCCTGCATTTTGTGGGTACTGTGGGAGCTGTGTGGCTGAAAATCCACTTTGGGGTTCTTCCCAGGGTGGAAGTTGGAGAAATAGGCCTTAGTCACAGGGTGCCAAAGGGCATTGCACTCCCTGGACGTGGCTCCAGGGACATTGGCAATACACCCTGAGTCGAGGGGTGCAGGGCCACGCCTGGACTCGGGGATCGAGTTCCAGGCTCTTGAGCTGTCCTTCACCCACGGACTCTCACACGGATGCATGGGTTTGTGTCCACGCAGGGTAGCAGTGGTGGGCAATGTGGATGCCGGCAAAAGCACGCTTCTGGGGGTCCTGACGCACGGAGAGCTGGACAATGGCCGTGGCTTTGCCCGCCAGAAACTCTTCCGCCACAAACACGAGATTGAATCCGGCCGCACCAGCAGTGTGGGCAACGACATTCTGGGCTTTGACAGCGAAGGCAATGTGGTGAACAAGCCTGACAGCCACGGTGGCAGCCTGGAGTGGACAAAGATTTGTGAGCAGTCCTCCAAGGTCGTTACCTTCATTGACCTGGCTGGCCACGAAAAGTACCTGAAGACCACCGTCTTCGGCATGACCGGCCATTTGCCCGACTTCTGCATGCTCATGGTAAGGGGGAGGTGCTCCCCAGAGGACGTCAGAGAAGGGCAGCTGGGCCATCCCATGCAGGGGCTCGCCGCCATTCCGAGGCCCGGCCTGTGCTGTGGGCTCTCTAAGCACTGAGGTCTTCTCCAGCGGTTTACCTTGATGCTCCTGGTACAAACAGGGCCTCGTTTGCAGACTTATTTTTGCGAGAGGCATGGATGAGGGTTTCTCCTGGAGTTTACTACCTTCAGAAACGTTTCTTCCTGGTACTTACAGGAGGCCACGTCAGGCCTCTCAAAGAGGGGAGGCCTAGGGAAGGCATGGAGGGAGCGCCCCCTGTCAGAAGGCCCAGGCAGCAGGCAAGGGGGCCTCCAGTCAGAGAGGAAGGAATGTTAGTCAGGTGCAGCCGTTACTGGGAGCTTCCTATGGGCCAGGCCTTGGGTTCTGGTGACACAACCAGAACTAGGCCATGTTGGTCATGGGGCCTCCCAGAGAGCTATATTTAGTGTGATTAGACTTTTTTGGGGGGGTGGAGGAAGTATTGGGGTTTGAACTTGGGATCTCACTCTTGCTAGGCAGGCTCAACCACTTGAGCCATGCCCTTAGCCCATAGTATAATTAATTAGGTGTGTGTGTGTGTGTGTGTGTGTGTGTGTGTGTGTGTGTGTGTGTGTGTGTGTGTTTCGCCAGTCCTGGGGCTTGAACTCAGAGCCTGGGCACTGCCCCTGAGCTTCTTTTGCTCAAGGCTGGCACTCTACCACTTGAGCCACAGTGCCACTTCCAACTTTTTCTGTGAATGTGGTAATGAAGAATGGAGCCCAGGGCTTCATGCATGCTAGGCAAGCACTGAACCACTGAGCCACCTTCCTAGCCCATGATTAGGTTCTGAGCAGCTTACCATGCAGAGTCACTGGGAAGGAGAGAAAGCAGAGAACTCGTACTGGCTCATTCACATTGCCATGCTTGCCTGTGTGCCCCGCTGAGTTTCTTCACCAGACAGAGAGGGAATGGTGAGGCGCACACCTGCACAGTCCCCGCTCACCTCATGCAGAGAGGCAAGGGGGGAGAGGGGGAGAGGCACACTTGCACAAGTGAGTGTTATTTTCGTCTGGCATGTCCTTCCTTCCCCTTCCTAGTTCTTCAGCTGCCTGTGTTAATAAGTGTGGGAAACACAGACATCTGTTCCTAGCAAACCTGCTCAAGTTGCCCCACAAACACAGGTTCTCAGGCCAACTCCCAACTCCCCTAATGGGCAGGAGAGAGAGGCTGGGTTTCTTGTGCAGGGACTCCTGGCAGCTCTCTGCCTGAGCTTCCTGGCATTGCACCTGAGATGTGTGGGTTGCACCATGGTTTCATCTCGCATTCATTGGAGCATTGCAGGTCTGTCACCAGCTCTTGATCACTAGAGGACAACTGCTGATCAGGAAGTAGTCTCAGTGGAAGATGATTGGGTCGATTTGGAGCAGTAGGTGCTTTTTGTTCTTTTTATTTTATTTTTGTGGTACTAGAGTTTGCACTCCAGGCCTCACTTGCTAGACACACCCTGTACCACTTAAGCTCCTCAGCCAGTTCCATTTCATGGTGGTCATCTTTGAGATAGTCTCCTTTTATGACCGTGTAGGCCTGGACTGCGGGCCATTGGAATGATGGTACCTCACTGTGCCCAGTCATAGCTTAAGATGAGATCTTCTTTGAAATTCTGCCTAGCTGGCCTTAAACTACTCTTTCCCATCTCAGTCTCTCAAGTGACTATGGATGACAGGCTTGAGCTACTGTACTTTTTTTTTCATTTAATTAACACATTTTATTAACATATTTATAGGGTGCAATGTGATATTTCAATACATGCATGCAATGAGTAGCCATCAAATCAGGTAGCATTTTCTCTGCGTCTGAGTGCCTGTCTGTCTCTGCCAGTCCTGGGGCTTGAAATTTCATCACAGCTGGTTCTTCACCACTTGAACCGCACATCTATTTCTGACTTTTAATGGTTAATTGGAGATAAGGATCACTCAGATTTGTTTGCTTGGGCTAGCTTTGAAGTGAGATCCTCAGATCTCAGCCTCCTGAGTAGCTAGGATTACAGGTATGAGCCATTGTCACTCAGTTTTTTTTTTATTAATACAATATATATTATTTCATATTGTGTAAGATACATAAAGAATGAACCCACCATTTAGAGTCAACATTAACATGATGTATGGGTAAGGTACATGTATTTGTTTCCTTTTTTTGGGTTGAATCATTTAAAGTGAGTTGTGGACCCCAGTACTTAGCATAGTAAGTACTATCTCCTACTGTTACTGAGGCCAAGAAAGTGGCCAGTAACTTGTCTGTATTTCTATTATCCCAGATATTCCCCACTGGTCTTCTATTACAGCTGCTTTTTTCAAACAGTTTAATACTGCTCACCTGTTTTTCTCTTTTGTGGTTGTGGGGTGGACGCAGGGCCTGCACGTACTAATCACGTGCTAATCACGTGCATGGCCGCATCCAGCCCCACAGTTACTCGCCTCTGTATGGAGGCATACTACCTATAGCTTGCTTTTTAAAATTTATTTTCTCTTCTTTTAAAAGTGTTTATGGATGATTAGCCTATGTCAGAAGGTAAGAGTGCTTTTTTAGCCAGATGCTGGTGGCTCATGCTGCCATCCTAGCTACTCAGGAGGCTCATATCTGAGGATTGTACATCAAAGCCATTCCGGGCAGGAAAGTGCACAAGACTCTTATCTCCAAGAAACTACTCAGGAAAAGCCAGAAATGGTGATGCGGCTCAAGTGGTAGTGTGCTAGCCTTGAGCATAAAGAGACTCAGGGATAGCGCCCAGGCTCTGAGTTCCAGCCCCAGGACTGGCACCAAAAACAATAAAAAGTTTCTTTTTCCTTTTGTGCATTGCATTTTGAACATAAGCCCTATAATTTTTCTTTTTTTTTCTTATTTTTTTGTCGGTTGTAGGTCTTGAACTCTGGGCCTAGGCGCTGTCTTTGTGTTCTTCAGCTCAAGGCTAGCATTCTACCACTTGAACCACAGCACCACTTCTGGTTTTCTGGTGGTTAATTGGAAATGAGTCTCACAGACTTCACCGCCTGCACTGGCTTTGAACCACAGTTGTCAGATCTCAGCCTCCTGAGTAGCTAGGATTGCAGGCGTGAGCCACCAGTGCCTGGCTTTTCTTGTTTTTTTTTTTTTTTGAGACAATATCTTGCTGTGTAGCCCAGACTGGGCTGGCACTTGCTATATATAATCCAGGCTGGCCTCAAGCTCCCTGATGCCCTGCCTCGATCTCCTAAGTGCTGGCATTACAGGCCCACACCACCATACCCAGCAGTTCCATGTGCTCTTAATTTGTTTCATGAGTCTTTGTGGTGAGTCTGAAAAGCTTGTATTATACTGGAAGGTTGATGTGCCACTGCACAAACAGTTCATGCTGGGTTTTTGTTTTAGAACCTTCACATAATGTTAGGACATCTAAACTGCAAGCTCGGCCTTCTGAAGTGGAGATGGTTATCCCCATTTTAGAGATGGGAAACTAAGGGTCCAGAGATATTAAGTTGAATTCATTCTGACAGAATTCCGTGTGCACAGGTCTCTGGTTCTGGTGGTCTCATCACTGAGCAGGGTCAACGCCATCTGGGCCAGGCCCAGCTTTCACAAACAGCTTTCTTTGATACCCTGATCCCTAGCAACAGCAGACTATTCCTCTTGTCCTAACTGTTCTTTTTCTGCATTGGGACAGGTGGGTAGCAACGCTGGCATCGTGGGGATGACCAAGGAGCACCTGGGCTTGGCATTGGCACTTAATGTACCTGTCTTCGTAGTAGTCACCAAGATCGACATGTGTCCTGCTAACATCCTGCAAGGTAAATGAGGCCCGCACCCCAGCTGGTGACCTCTGGAACTGGCAGCACTGTCTCGGGGTGGTCTGTTGCCAGGGCTTCAGCCCAGAGTTTCCTCTTTCAAATCTGCTGCTGCTGCTGCTTCCCCTATTTAGTTCTTGGTACGAGTATGGCCTAGAATTTCCCTCTGTTCTTAGTTCCTTCCAGTTCAATGCAGAGGATCCTTAAGGTTCCTAATCTGGCACCTCTTTGCAGATGTGCCCTGGCAGCAGATGTGGGGCTGTGCCACTGAAGCTAGATGGACATGGAGGGGTTCAGGCGGAGTTTCCACTCAGGCTTGCGGGAGTAGGCCTTCATGTACCTCTTTTCCTCTGATGCGGATTATTAGGGAGAAGTGAAAAAACCTCATCATAAGAGCCTCTGCACACTTCTAAGAAACACCCAAGAGAGGGCTGGGAAGGTGGCTCAGTGGTAGAGCGCTTGCCTTGCATGCCTGAGGCCCTGGGTTCGGTTCCTCAGCACCACATAAGCAAAAAGAAAAAAGCCGGAAGTGGCGCTGTGGCTCAAGTGGTAGAGCGCTAGCCTTGAGCTGAAGAGCTGAGGGACAGCGCCCAGGCCCAGAGTTCAGGCCCCACAACCGGACCCCCCCCCAAAAAAAAGAAGAAGAAAAAAAAGAAACACCAAGAGGTCCTTTTGACAGATGAGATTTTTTTTTTTTTTCAGAAATAGAGCATTCTGGAAAGAACAGTGTCCTTCCCAGGGAACCTCTAAATTACTCATCTACAGGATGTGGGCTTTCTAGAGATTCTGGAGAAATCTGCCAAATTTCAGACTCACAACCTTAGAAAAGAGACCCCATCTGTGCGCTTTCCACACAGGCAATGCAAACCCGCCCAAAGTTTTGATCCTCCTTTTTGCTTCTCCATGCATTGTGGCATTTAACACTCCATCTGTCTGTCTGTCTCCTGCTTGCATCAGTAATGAATGGACCCGTCTTACCCTGGAAGCCTGGCTAAAGAGAAGGCTGTGTCCCCTAATTCTGTTCCGTTTCACCCTTTAAGAAACCCTGAAGCTGTTACAGCGCCTGCTGAAGTCACCGGGCTGTCGGAAGATCCCTGTGCTGGTGCAGAACAAAGACGATGTGATCGTTACAGCTTCCAATTTCAGCTCTGAGAGGTAAGGAGTGGGGGCGGGATGCTTCCAAGCAGGTGCCGATGCCAGCAGGCCACAGTGAACAGTAGGCCTAAAATGGCTGCTTCGGGCATGAGATCTCCTGGACATTCTTACTGTTCAGGAGGAAACATAATTACATGTACACATTGCATGTATACATACATGTATAATGTGTATCCATGTACTTATTTACATAAGGCATTTAGCACTGTGCCTGGCTGGTATAGAATAGACATATACCGAGTGTGTGTGTGTGTGTGTGTGTGTGTTGTGGGACTTGAACTCAGGGCCTGGGCACTGTCCCTGAGTAAATTTTGCTCAAAGCTGGCACTCTACCACTTTGAGCCACAGCACCACTTCTGGTTGTTAATTGGAGATAAGGGTCTCTTAGGCTGGGTGTTGGTAGCTCATGCCTGTAATCCTAGCTACTCAGGGGGTTGTGATCTGAGGATCTGATCTGAGGATCACCTTTCAAAGCCAGCCCAGGCAGGAAAGTTTGTGAGACTCTTATCTCCAATTAACCACCAGAAAACTGGAAGTGGAGCTGTGGCTCAAAGTGGTAGAGCGCTAGCCTTGAGCAAAAGCTCTCAGACAGCAACCAGGCCTAGAGTTCAAGCCTCCATGACCACTACCACCACCAACAAAAAAGACTTTCACTGACTTTCCTGCTGTCTTTGAACTGCTATCCTCAGATCTCAGCCTCTTGAGTAGCTAGGATTACAGGCGTGAGCCACTGGTGCCCAGCTGTAGCTATTCTTTATTATTCTATAAGCTTTTTATTTTTTTGTGCCAGTCCTAGGGCTTGAACTCAAGGCTTGGGCATTGTCCTTGAGCTCAAGGCTTGTGCTCTACCACCAGATTTTCCTGTCCAGGCTGACTTCAAACTGTGATCCTCAGATCTCAGTCTCCTGAATATTTAGGATTACAGGTGTGAGCCACCGGCACCAGCTGTATTAGCTTTTTATATTCTCAGAATCTTTCTGATCACAGGTTATTAGTGTATCCTTTCATTCCATAAGTATTCATTGGGTGTTTGCTCATGTAAACATGGAGGATTCAAAGGTGTCTGTAGCATAGTACTCAAGATAGCTAGTTCTTTGGCCCGACAGTTGCTTGCTAACAGTGATCTTGGTCCAGTTTACTCCTTGACCCAGAGCCAGGGGCCTCCTTAGGAGCCATCTGCCTAGTGATCGAGTTTATAGTGCTCAGTTCAGGGCAGCCTGGATTTTTGGCCTGTGTCAGTGACACAGTCCTGTCCTGCCCTGCTCCAGCTCATTGATTTGCAGGCACCATTATAGAAGCTATGGGACTGTGTACAACCTGGTCTCAAGGAATTTAATTCAGCCTGAATAGTTGGAAAAATCACGTAGTCCTAGGTAGTTGTCCACAAGCTGTAGAAGGGCTTCAGGACAGAAGTGGTGTGTGACGCTCTCTGGAGAAGGTGGCGACTGGGGTTGCAGGGTAGGAGCTGGCCGCTGAGCACCTCTTTCCTTTCTTCTCTCCCCCTCCATTTAGGATGTGCCCAATATTCCAGATATCCAATGTTACAGGGGAGAATCTAGAACTGCTGAAAATGTTCCTCAACCTTCTGTCCCCCCGTACCAGCTACCGGGAGGAGGAGCCTGCCGAGTTCCAGATTGATGACACCTACTCTGTCCCCGTGAGTGGCCAGGGTTGGGGGCTGGTGGGCCTCAAGGTAGGCCAGTTGGAGCGGGGCGGCTTATTAGCCTGGTCTCTTCTGTTTGCAGGGTGTGGGGACCGTGGTGTCAGGCACAACGCTGAGGGGCCTGATCAAGCTGAATGACACTCTGCTGCTAGGCCCGGACCCCCTGGGGAACTTCCTGTCCATCGCCGTCAAGTCGATCCATCGCAAGCGCATGCCCGTCAAGGAAGTTCGCGGGGGCCAGACAGCCTCATTTGCACTGAAGAAGGTGAGGGGGCACTTCCCGATGCCCCTGGCACTGTGTGTGCAAGGCACTTCACCACCTTCCCCAGTTCTGGTGGCTGCTCCCCAGCTCACTTTCATAGATGAGAAAATGGCTCAGAGCCTCGTGACTTAACTAAGACTCCCAGCCAGAAAGTGTTCGAATGAGGACTCAAACCCAGGACTGCTGCCTCCTGAGCTCTGGTCCTCCCTTGGATGCCTGAACAGGGGCCCCCAGCTTCCACGTCTTGATGAGAAGTCCACTCTGCATAGGGCCCTGCTCCACATGGGGTTCGGGGAGGGTGTGCCAGATCCCCGGGTCACTTGACTTCCTGCTTGGTGTGTTCACGCCAGCGGTCAGGCGTGGGGGCAGGGCCGGCCAGTGTGTGGCGCTGGAAGGCCTCGTGGTCCCTATGCTCTGTGGTTCCTCTTGCTTTCAGATCAAGCGCTCATCCATCCGAAAGGGCATGGTGATGGTCTCTCCGCGCTTGAATCCCCAAGCCTCCTGGGAATTTGAGGCCGAGATTCTTGTCCTCCACCACCCCACCACGATTAGCCCACGCTACCAGGCCATGGGTAGGTGTCTAGGGTACTATTGCCCCAAAAGGTACTCAGTGACCCAATCTCTAGTTCTAGCTTCAGCCCAGAGGCAGAGGTCCATTGCGTTCAAGCTGTTCCTCAGTTCTGCCCATGCGTCTCAGCATATTCTGTCCTGCAGACGCTCACCGAGGGGGCTGACCCCAGACCCGCCCTCAAGGACCTACTGTGTGTGTGGAGCACTGCTGTGTCCCAAGAGGTGGTGCTACACAGCAGAGAGCGAGGAGACAGTGGGCAAGGGCCCTTAATTATAGGAGCTCCCAGTCCAGTGAGGGATGCATGTAATCTCAGGAACTGGGGCCCTGAGTACAGGACTTGGGGGGCCAGCTAGGTGGGGAATGAGGCAGGGGGCAGGCCTCTAGTTGCAGCTAGTCTGCAGCTCCAGAGTGTTTCTTTCACTCACTGCTTCTCCCAGCCCTGAGGCCGTTAGCACGCCTAACCTTCCTGCTCCCTCTGCAGTGCATTGTGGGAGCATCAGGCAGACAGCCACCATTCTAAGCATGGACAAAGACTGTCTGCGCACTGGGGATAAGGCTACTGTCCATTTCCGCTTCATCAAGACCCCTGAGTACCTGCACATAGACCAGCGGCTGGTGTTCCGGGAAGGCCGCACCAAGGCTGTTGGCACCATCACCAAGGTACCACGGGGGCAGACCCCCTGTCCCAGGAAGCACCTGAACTCCCCCACCATGGCTGTGAGCACCACAGGCTTTTTAGGACCCATGCCCCTGCTCTCGGGGGGCTGGGCCAGCGCCCAGGTGTTGCTACAGTGCCATCTTCCCTCCCCTTTCCTTCAGCAGAGGAAGAAATGGACTCCACATGTCCAATCCTGGAATCAGCCTCATGTTGGCCCTACCTCCTGAAGGGTTTCCTCAGGCTCATCCCTGGGGACCAGACCTAGGGACTTCGTGGCCTTGAAGGCCTGCTTCTCTTGGGGCCAGCTGAGAGTTTGGCAGAGGCTCTAGGCCCCACTGTAGTGTCCTGTAAGGTTGAGCCTGGGCCACAAAAATAGATTCTGAGCCCAGCACTCCTGAGCAGTAGCTTTTATGGTTTCTTTTTATTTTGCCAATTCTGGGACTTGAGCTCATTTCTTTTGCTCAAGGCTAGCACTCCACCACTTGAGCCAAAGCTCCGCTTCTGGCCTTTTCTGTGTATGTGTTATTGAGGAATCCAACCCAGGGCTTCATGCCTGCTAGGCAAGCAGTCTACTACTAAGCCACCTTCCCAGCCCAGCTTTTATGATTTCTTACAAACTCCAGATGTTGCCACCTAATAAGGTATTCGCCTGGCATCTTCTTGAGGCCTGACCCTAAAACTTGGTCCAGAGCTGGCTGGGGCGGCCTCTGGGCCAAGTCTAAGATGGTGGAAGGGCAGGGAGTTTTCTGCAGGGTAGGAAGGGTAGCTGGGGCACAGCAGAGGCCCCAGCAACACAGTGGTGCTGGCCTGGGGGTGGGGTTGGGAGGTGTGGGCAGCTCCAGCCTCATGCTCACCACCAAACCCCCCCCCCCATCCTTTGGCTTCTGTAGCTCCTCCAGACCACCAACAACTCCCCAATGAACTCCAAACCCCAGCAGATCAAAATGCAATCGACGAAAAAGGGCCCCCTGACCAAGCGAGAAGAGGGAGGCCCATCTGGCGGGCCAGCAGTAGGGGCAGCTGCACCCGGAGACGAAGCTGCCTCTCTAGGGCTTGGGCAGGCAGCTGCATCCAGCAGCCTCCAGTCACAGGTGGGTGTGGGCCCCTCCTGGCCTGGGGCAGGGAGGGTTGCAGCTCATCCTGTGGAGGTGATGTCAAGAGCCCCAGGGAAGGTGGCTCCGTGATAGAGCGCTTGCTCTGCATGCATGAGGCCCTGGGTTCAATTCCTGAGCACCACATAAGCAGAAAAAGGAAGTGGTGCTGTGGCTGAAGTGGTAGAGTACTAGCCTTGAGCTGAAGAGCTGAGGGACAGCACCCAGGCTCAAAGTTCAGGCCCCACAACTGGCAAAAAAAAAAAAAAAGAAAAATGCTTCGTATAACTCCTGATGGACAGATATCATCCAAGGCAAAATGTATGTGTGGTTCTCATGACTCCTGTTTAACTGATCTTGATGAGCATTTATTTAGGGTTTTGTTTGTTTGGTGCAGCTAGAGTTTCAACTCAACCGATTCCTACTAGGCAGGTGCTCTACCAATTCAGCCAAGCCTCTGGCCCTTTTAGCTTTAGTTGTTTTTCAGAGAGCATCTTGCTTTTTTTTTATTTTTTTGCCAGCCTGATCTCTGGCCCTATAGCCTCCTATATTACTGTCCTTACAGTAATATAGACACCATTACCACTGTTGAGGTCTCACTAATTTTTGCTTGATTTGGCCTCTAGCCACAATCCTCCCTTCCTCTGATTTCCAAGTTGCTGGGATTACAAGCATGAACTATTGTGTCTGGTCTTAGAATTTAGCTTTTGGGTTTTGGTGATTTCTTTTTTACAGTACTGGGATTTAAACTCAGCTTTTCCACTTGTTCTACTACTGAAGCCATACCTTTAGTCCTGCTTTTTGCTGCTTATTTTGGAGATAGTCTAGGGAACCTTCTTACATGAGCTGGCCCCAAAGGGCTGTCTTCTAGACTACAGGTAGAAGCTTTCAGTGCCCAGACCAAAGCTTTTAGTTTGAATGAAATAAAAATAGAATAAAGCTGGGTGCTGGTGACTCATGCCTGTAATCCTAGCTTACTCAGGAAGCTGAGATCTGAGGATCGTGGTTCAAAGCCAGACCAGGCAGGAAAGTCCTGAGACTTATCCCCAATGAACCACCAGAAAACCAGAAGTGGCGCTGGGGTTGCAGTGGTAGAGTGCTTGTCTTGAGCTGAAGAGCTGAGGGACAGCGCCCAGGCCCAGAGTTCAGGCCCCACGACCAGACCCCCTCCCCCCAAAAGAACTAAAAACTTTCATGGTCTTTATAGTCACAGAAATACTGTTTGAGCCTGTAGGTGATGTGCATGTGCACTGTGGTCCAGTGACTGTGAGAGGTGGCGATGCTGCCTCAGTGGGTCCTGTGTCCCTGTCACACACGGGAGGCAGGGTGGCTGTGTCACCGCTGCTTCTACCGCCACCTCCCGTGGGCTCTCCCCAACTTCTCTCCTGGCCTAACAGAGCTAAGCGGCTGCTTCCCGGCAGCTTTTTTATTTCCTTTAGATGCCTATTTGGGAAAGGAAAATGTTCCTGGCTCTGTATGTTGTGTTCTGTCTCTCTCCTTTGTGTCTCCCTCCCGGTTCCCTCTTGTTGAGCTCTTCCTCTGGTTCTTTCCTTCTGCACGCTCCTTCTCTCCGCTCCAGCGTGGCTCACGTTTTGCGCCTCTCTGGGCGGTGTGTCCACCGTCCCTGCAGCTCCCAGTGCTCCCTGCCTGCCGCCCCGCTCCCTGGGGCCAGCGCTTCTCCAGTGCCTTCCTTCTCTCTTTTCAGTCCAAGCCTAGCAGTGGGGGCCGGCGACGAGGGGGCCAGCGCCACAAAGTGAAGACCCAGGGGGCCTGTGTGACTCCTGCCAGCGGCTGCTGAATCCTCATCACTCTGACCACCTCACTGGCTGGGCAGGGCAGCGCAGATCGCCATCCGCTCACCCCAGCCACAGCTGGAGCCTCCTCGTGGTCCCAGCCCCATTTTCCAGGGGGGTTGTAATTTATAAGCTGAGGAAGGTGGCCAAACTCCCCAAGAACTGACCGACTCCCACCTCTTCCTGCCTCCTTCCTCACTCACACATCTTTTGTACATCTGGGCCCTTAGTTTTTATTCTTTTTATTATATATCTGTCTCTCGATTTAGTGTGGTGTGTGTGTGAGTGTGTGTGTGTGAGGCGGAGTGTGGCCTGCCCGGGCCCTGTCAGTTCTCCTTTCCTCCTGGCCGGCCACCAGCCTCCAAGAACTAGCTACCGGCCTGTCCTATCCGTCCGTGTGTCTGTCCAGGTGAGAAGGCTCAAGGAGCCTGCTTCCTGCCCTGCTCTTCTCGGCCGGAAGCCCCTCCCCGGGGCTGCTTTTGGGGCTGAGGAGCCGTCAGCATTCAGGATCTTCTCTCAGAGTCTAAGACCCAGGGCTTCATAGCAGGGAGCTCGCGGTGGCTTCCCCCCTCCCTCTTTTCCCCGTGGGCCCTCAGGCACGTAATCGCAAACTCTGCAGTGGTGTGTGAGCAGCGCCTCAGGACTCTGACCACCCCAGCTCGCCCTAGTGGGCTTCCTCTTGGAGACAATCCTGTGCTCGTGCGGGCTGCCCCGGCGCCCGTGGCTCCGCCATCTGCCCACCAGAGGACTTGGGCCTTTGCCGGTGGCAGGCACTGGTAACTAGACTGGGTGTGGTGCCCGTTTCCCTAGCTCCATCCTGCCCAGCTGTTCCCGGAGCCCAGCTGGGTACAGGGAGGGAAGGTGGAGCTGTGGGAAAAGATTCTTCCCTGCCCAGCACAGCACTTAGCCTACGGGGAGCTTTGCTGCCCAGGGTGGGAGATGAGGCTGCACAGGACTGAGCTGTGCCCCACGGCTTTTCTAGGGTGCCCGGTGGGACGGGGTGTTGTTTAGCCAGGGCAGACACCCAGCTGGCTGGGTCCTCCTTCAGCCTCACCTTCCAGCCCTCAGCTGCCCTTCTTTCCCAGCTGCTGGTCCTCTCTCCTCCCTCCCTCTCCCCGCTGTTTCTAGTTACTACTGCCCTGTGGCCATGGACTGACCAGACCAGCATTCACAATAAAAGTTTCTTCCAAGTTGACAGTGTCGTGTTCCCTGCCCAGCCCTCCAGATGGAGGGGCGGCTGCAGGACAACGCAGCTTTACCTGCAGGGAGCTGGCTGCCTGTCAGCCAGGACGGGCCTATGAGCGCCCCTCGCCTCATCCATGGCAAGAGGCTCTGGGTGGCCAGAGAGCCGTTGGCAGTGCCGAGGCTGCAGTAGCCAGCACTGCCGGTGGCCTTTTTCATGTCTGGTCCACATTCCCGGGTCCCCTTGAGGTGGGCCTTGCTAACACGGCTCTTCTAGTTGAGGCTGAAGCTGGGGGCTTGCAGGCAGATACCGATTCCCCCACATGCCCGCCCCAGCCGCTGTTGCACCCTGCTCTTCGGGCTCTGTCTTCATGACGAGGGCAGCAGGGGGCTGGAGGCTGCTCCCCTGAGGTCCACGGTGGGAGGCCCCATTGGGTCTGCACTGTGTTCTGTAACCATTCTGGTGTGCTGGAGCTCCGGTGGAGCACCGGCCTCTGTCTGGGGCTGCTCGGGAAATGCCAGTGCCAGCAAGGACATGGCTGCACTCTGTCAGGAACAGACCCCGCAAGTCCTTGCAGGGCGCAGCTTTCCCAGCTAACCACTGGGGATAAAATACAAGCCTGTCCATCTGTCAGCCTCAAATGGCAAGGCCTGGCCCTTCCATGTGGGTGACAGGCTCTGGGAGGCTCTAGGCTGGTACAGGTGGACATGGAGGTGGCCAAATCTCCTTCACAACAGGCTTTGTCAGGGCTTGCCCAGCACAGTGGGGTTGGTTGGCAGGATTCCGAGCTCCAGTTCAGGGACATCCTGGGTTGGGTTGGAAAAGTGCCAGAGCTGAGTGTAAGGTGAGGCCAGGGGCCAGCGGGTGTTACGTGTGAGCATGAAGGTCCCGAGCCCGCACGGTGTGTGCAGTGGTGTCATTGCTCATCCGGGTGTGCCTTCATTTACAACTGGCGCTAGGTACAGAGCAGATGTTGGGGGTAAGGAGGCTTGGGGAGAGCGTGGGCCCAGCCCCCTCCAGGGACAGCGCCCTCTCCCGAGCCCACCCCTCCGCACTGGCCTTCCCATCTTGGTGTTCTCAGCCAGGGCAAGGTGCCGTGGTCAGGGAGAACTTGGGGTTCGGCTGGGAGAAGCAGATCCTAAACATTCAACTTTGCCTCTGGCTCAGCAGCACTGAGTCAGCTAAGGCCCTTCCTCCATCAGGGGCCCCGTGAGGTTTGGAAGCTGCCTCACTTCCGCCTGCCAGTCCCGGAGCCCCCAGCGCCGGTGTTGCCTCCTGGCTCCCCGCCGCGTCGTGGCAGGGCTTAGCGGGAAGTCCTGGGTTTCGAAGCTTTGGGAAGGGGTCTTGGGGGATGCTGGTGTGACGCCTTCCCCAATAACATCTTTGCTGTGATTGCCAGGTAAGAAGCACGCCCCACCAATCCTGGGCATCCTTTATTTTTGCATAGCCATAAATTAGAATCTGAAGATAAAAAAATTAAGAACCAACAGTGCAGCATTTGTGACAGGAGAGCACAGGCCCAGCCCCAGTGGTCTCAGAGGGCCAGGGCTGTGTGGGGCCTGGAAGCTGAGTCAGGCTCAGCCCTGTAATGCAGGACCCCTGTAACGCAGGACTGCCTGCCTGCAGCTCCTGCCCACAAGCCAGGCCCAGGCCCCCCTCAGCCAGGAACTAGAAACTGACTGCTACCCAGTTGCCCCAGAGAACGGGGCTAGGAATCAAGCCCTTAGCTTTTCAGTTTTAAAAAAAAGGGGAAAAAGCCTTGAAAAAATATATACACAATACAGCAGGCGCTGTGCGTCTCCCTGCCAGGCAGGGGAGCTTCTGCCAGCACCCCCACCCCATCCCACAGAGAGCCGGACAGGAAACAAGGTAAGCAAGAGCCAAGAGCCAAGGGGGTGCTGAGGTTGCCCCTGGGGCCTGGTGAGACAACCCTTCTCCCGCTGGCGACCCTGAACAGCACGGGGCCAGGAGAGCCCTGAGGTCCCCTGCTCCCTCCTCCTGGGTCCCCCACTAACTGGGGAGAGGGTGGACAGCTTGCACTGGGGTACTAGCGGGCCCTCACCCTAGCATCCGGGGTACACTACCCATCCCAGCACTGGGAAGGCCACATTGGCACAGACGGTGGCTCAGAGAAGCCAGCTCCCTCCAAGGTACAAGAAGCCCCCTGGCCTTTACTAACCCAGGACAAATGCAGGCTTCTAGAAGAACTCTTTGGGGTCCAAGGCCCGAGGCTCCCCACAGCCTGCCTTCTGGAGAGAACGGGCCCCTCCGCCAGATGCCTACTGCCTGGTGCCACCCACCCTCCTAGAGGCCTGCACGATGCACCCACCTAGTCTCCTGGGTGGCTCAGCCTGGGCACCTCCTCCGTCTACCTGCCTCCCACCAGAGTGACGGCTGTTGGCTTCACCTCCCGTCCCCATGGTGTGCCACATCTATACCCCCGTGCCCGCAGCTCGAGGGGGGGGGGGGGCGAGGGCTGCCGGCCGCCTTGCTACTCGAGGAAGCACACACGGTTTTCCTCATCTCCCGGGGGCTGGGGCTCTTCTTGCTTCCTGGGAGTCAGAATGCCCATGAAGCATGTCGGGGGGCGGGGGGGACAGTGGTAGGATGCTGGGCGCCCACTCCCTGGGCAGAGGCAGATGCTGGGGGAGGAGGGCAAGCCTCCGGCGTGGCTGGCAGCAGGCGTGAGAGGTCAAGGGGCTAGTGGGCAGGCTCCCCGTGCACCCTGAAGCGGTAGATGCAGGTGTACTCGGGGTGGCCCCAGTTGGTCAGGATCCGCAGCTCCACCACCTGGTACGTGGCCATGTTAGGGGTCTGGGTAGAGAACGTTAAGAGTGTCACGTGGTCCCTTGACATGTCACCAACACAGAAAGGGGAGGAGGAGCTAGCCCCTGTGGCCAGTCAGCTCTTCCTGTGGGCTCTGAAAGCAAGGGGGCTTCAGAAGCTCCGAGGACCCCGACATTTCACGGTCCCAACAGGGGTCACTGCCCCACAAGCCGGCACTGGGTCCAGGCTGGGGCTGATGGCAGCCGGGCCGCCGAGGCGAAGGGGCGCTCACGCCCGCATGCGTGGCTTCATCCTCATCATGCTGGCTGCAGCCCCAGCGCAGAGGGCTTGAGCACTCAGGGCTGCTTTTGTCTTTTATCTCATGTGCCTATTCGGCCATTCTACTTGTTTACCAGCCACAGTGCTGGGGGCTGACGGTGTTTGTGGGTTGCACAGCGCTTCCCACACTTGTGCCCTGACTCCACAGCGCGAGAGCCGCAGCTCGCAGCATGTCACCTGGGTGAGGCCCGGGCCTGGCGCCCTCCGCCAGCCTCGCTGACCTTTGCTGTACCCTTTGTTCAGGTCCAGCCTATCAGTGCTGCAGTTCCCGTCCCTCCTGGAATTGAGTCATTACCTCCCAGCTGATGAAAATGGGCCATCTCTAGTCCTCCCGCAGCACTGCCAGGCTACCCCACAAGACCCTGCAACTGGTGGGCAAACCTGCTCCTAGCTCTGTAGTAGTCCTGCTCCCTGACACGGGAGACTGAGGCTGTCCCCTGCTCCATCTTTTCCTGCTGCGCCCCTTAGCCTGACAGCCGGGGCCGGCCCAACTGCCGCCTCCAGCTCCCACCGCACCCCTCACTCCCCGTGCTCCCAGGGTGGAGGCCTCCCTGCGCCTTGTCCTCACTCTGCCCCCCCCCTTCCGGACCTCCCCCTCACTTGCCTCACATATACCCCCATGGTTTGTTCAAGTTCAGGGTCCTGGGTCCCCTCAGCTGTGAGAAATCCACGTTTCTGCCAGCCTACATCAGAGGGTGAAGGGCCAGGCCTTGGCTGAGGCCCCACGGCGCTGCGCCTCTGGCTACCTTCATGCTGGCGTCCTGGTCACCCCACCTTTCCTTTCATCAAACGGGCTCCAGCAGCGCTCTTCCAGAAGTGGCCCTGCTCTGTGCCAGCCACTAAATCAGCGCCACCTCTGACTCCAAGCTGAGGCTCATGGGGCAGGGATGCATGTCCGAACCCCAGGCCTGGCAAAGCCAGGGACCCCCACCACCGGCTGGGAGCACAGGGGCTGCCCGTACCTGGAAGTAGAAGGTCTGAATGGGCTCCCCGTCCTGGTCATAGGTGAATGTGCCAAGAAGCGTCCCTTCCTGCTGCAGGTCTTCGTCAAACCCCTGGAGAAGAGCGTGCATGGTGGGAAGGGGCCGGATGGGGCCAGGACTGTGGTGGGTCATCTTAGCTTCACATTTCACACATCTGTTCCTCTCCGTCCCTCCCTCCCAGCCAGAGCAGCCCGAGCCTGATTCCCAGTCCCCTCCAGCCCTCCCACTCCCACATGGGCCAGATACTCACAAAGATGGAGAAGTCCTTGGGGGCACTGGAGATGGTGCTGTTGGGTGACAGGGCCTTGGGCACGTGCTCTAAGGTGACAGCTGTGGGGCGGATGCGAGCGGAGAGGCGGACCACGGCGAAGCCCTGGGGCCCCTGGAAGGCCCAGCAGTTGCCTGGGTGCACATCTGGCTGGAGGGGAGGGAGGGCATGTCAGGACGGAGTCCAGCCCTGGCTGCTGGGGTGGCGGGGAGGGCAGTCCAATCATGGCCCCATCGAGGCACTCGCCCACCAGGACCCACCTGGAGAATGACGCGAGGCGACTGGGAGTGGTACCACAGCGGGATGCCAAAGAGGCTGAGGAGGGCCGTCTTGGTCTCATAGGTCTCTGAACACCGGGTACTGATGACACTGGCCCCTGACACAGGAAAGAAAGGCAGGCGGTCGCCACAGAGGCCACGGCAGGAGCCACAGGAGGAACTGCCACTGCCCATCTCCTTGCTGCCCATGGTGGGCAGGAACCGCCACTGCCCATCTCCTTGCTGCCCATGGCGGGCATGCCCTGACCCAGACCCACAAGGCTGCTAAGACACGAGCTCACCCCACTAAGATGCTGGTTGGTACCTTGGGCTCCCGTCAGTTTGGAGTCTAGCTTAGCTGACAGGTGCTGGTCTCGAGCCCTGCCTGCTTAAACCCCTGGCAGAGTCCAGGACCCTGCCGCCACCGTGGGGACCGGGCCGAAGCAGAGCGAGGAAGGTGACACTTACCTCCCGACTCCAGCGCGTAGTCCACCATCCCAATGCGGTCCTCGCTGTAGCGCTGCAGGGCCTGCTTGACAATCCGGTGCACCTGCTGTCAGGAGGGACACAGACCCTGTGAGAACTCGGCCCTGAGAGAGTACAGCCACAATGGGAATACTGGGATCCGTGGACGGATCCTTGAGCTCTGCATGGTGCTGGTGCCCAGGCGCGGATGGCACGCTTACACCATCCACATCAAGGGCAGAGCACACGCTGGCGCCTGCTGTGGGTCACGGGACACAGGAGGTCTGGCAGTGTGGAGCTGCCAGACCCGTGGCTCCCAGGGAGGAAGGCAGCATGGTGGGGCCCGGGTAGGGTGGGGCACTTGCTCCTTACCTCCTCTGTCACCCCCACCACGCCTTCTTTCTGCAGTGTCTGTCCCAGGAGAGCAGCGGCCTGGCTCACGGACTTGCCCTGCATTTCTGCCACGTGGGCGAGGATCTGACGCTCTAGCTCCTGCAGCTGAGTGTGCACCTCCTCCCTGTGCAGGAGGCTGGGGTGGGCGGCCCCTCCTCGGAGAAGGTACTGACCAAACCAGGTGGGGAACTGGGACTCCACCTGGGGACAGAAACCATGTCACTCCCTCTGAGGATTGCAGGTGGGCATCACAGCTAAGCAGAGTAGGGCAGGGTAGGGTAGCGCTCAGCCAGGGCATAGGCCCAGGTGGGAGGAGGGAGGCAAGGAGGCAGGCCCGCAGAGGCGCCAGCAGGCCATCAACCGGAAACAAGGGGGCACTCCTGCCACAGAGCCTGCCCTGTGCGTGCTTGGCGGTGGTCCCAGGAGCCTGGGGTGGGTGGTCCCTGAGGAAAGAGCCCCCAGCACTCACATCGTCCCGCACAGCCTGGATCTTCTGTGGCAGCAGCCCTACTTCCTTTGCCATGGAGCTCTGCTTCTGGGTCAGGGCCGCCAGCTCTTGCTGCAGGTTGGCCAGCTGGGCCTCCATCCGCCCCAGCTCCTTCCCAGAGTTCTCCTGGGTCAGCCTAGTCCCAGAGGACAAGCAGGGCAGGAAGGAAGATCTCTAGCTGGCTCTCCTGCACCAGGCACCGGGTGCGGGGGAGGGGTGCAGAAGGGGCACGGCCAGCAGCGTGGGAGCTGGCTTGCCCATCCTGCAGCTCACTGTGATGCAGGCCCCAGTTCCTGTGGGCTGGAGGCGGCCACACAGGATCCTGCACCAGGATCCCCACCCACACCCCCGCCCCAGTGGGCCAGTCAGAATCTTGCTCTGGGCTCTGTTCCCCAGGCCTGTGGGAAGCAGGGCTGGACATTACCTTAGCCACTCTGACTTCAGCTGCTGGACACGAGCCTCGGACTCCTGGGAGCAAGAAGAGCCCAGGCTGAGAACTACTGAAGATCAGAGAGACCCATCCCCAGAGGAAGACCGACGCCTTGTCAGGTTCTTTGCTTAACTATCCTTGCCCCAGGGTCTCCCAAAGATTGAACTGACCAGTCCTTCTGGCGTCCTGCCCCCGTCTGACTTGCTCTCTCTCTCTCTCTCTCTCTCTCTCGTGTGTGTGTGTGTGTGTGTGCGCGTGTGTGCTCGCGCGCGTTAACCCATTTACCGAGTACAGTCACCAGACCCCAGCACAGGCCCCATGCCCCAGCTCTGACCTGGGAGGCCTGGACGATCTTCTTGAAGAGGTCCTCAGAGTCCTGGTGATGCTCTGCCCGCACAGCGCCCAGTTCTTCCTGTCAGACAGCAAGGGGCGGGGGTGTGGAAGATTTGAACCTGCAGCTTGGAAGGGCTCTTCTAGGACTCAAAGCAGAGCTCTACTCCAGATCTCAGCCTCAGGCCTTGGCGGTTCTCAGAGGCATGCATACCCCACCGGCTCCCTTAGCTCGGCTCACTACCCGGGGTAGGGGATGGAGGCTTAAACAGGAGAGAGCTTAAACAGCTTAAACAGGAGAGAGGCAGCTGGACGGTGGCTCATGCCTATCATCCTGGCTCCTTGGGAGGCAGAGGCGGATCTGGCCCAGGCCAGCGGAGGCATAAGAAGCACTAGACCCTCGAGTACCTGCCAAGCAAGTGTGAGGAAAAGAGGAGAGGGCCGACAGTCTGCCTCTAAATGCTGCACTGGGGCCTCCGCGGGTCCCCTGGGGGCTCCTCGCCCCACTCCCCACCTGAATGCGGGCCGCGGCCTCTTTGCGGATGTCCTCCTTCAGCGCAGCCTCGCGGCGGCTCACCAGCCCCTCCAGGAGCGCCAGGGTGTCCTCGTGAGTCAGGCCCCCGCCTGCTCCATGGCCGGCACTGCCCTGCCGGAGCTCCAGGCGTTCCAGCCGAATGGCCTCCTTCTGCCAGTTGGAGGAAAAATCGGCGGCAAGAGCATCCAGGCGGCGCTCGAGGGCATGGACCCGGGACAGCAGGCGCTGCTCAGCCTGGCGGGTAAGAGGAGGGTGGCAGAGGTAAGGGACCCAGGACAGCCACCATGGCACCTACTGAGCAGTCACTGAGACAGCCAGTAGAGAGAGGGAAGGGAAACCCAGGATGGGGACCACAGGGAGCTGGGTGCACACTGGGAGAGGAGGATGAGGGTCCAGGACATGCTGTGGAACTCAAATGTCAAAAGAGTAAGATGCAGGTCAGGCACTGGTGGCTCATGCCTGTAATCCTAGTTACTCAGGAGGCTGAGATCTGAGGATCGAGGTTCAAAACCAGTCCTGGCAGGAAAGTCCATAGACGTCTATCTCCAACTAACCACCAGAAAACCAGAAGTGGCGCTGTGGCTCAAATGGTAGAGCACTTGCCTTGAACTGAAGAGCTGTGGGACAGTGCCCAGGCCCAGAATTCAAGCCCCATGACCAACAACAACAACAAAAAAGAGTCAAGGTGTGTGGGGGGGGCGGGGGATCTGACACAGGGACAGGCCAAGAAAAAGACAGGAAGTTGGGGGCAGGTAGCTCACACCTGTAATCCTAGCTACTCAGGAGGCTGAGATCTATGAAGCGAGGAAAGTCCTTGAGACTCTTATCTCCAACCACCAAAAAGTAGGAAGTGGAGCTGTGGCTCAAGCAGTAGAGTCAGCCCTGAGTGAAAAAGCTCAGCTGGAGTAAGCAGGAGGCCCTGAGGCCCCCATGGACTGGTACGTAGGCTGGGGGCGGGGCGGGGGGAAGGCCAGGGGCTGTGGCACCCAGCCTTCACTCCTTCCATATACAACCAGGACTAAAGGAGGAAGTAGCCTGAAAGTGCTTCCTTTTTCATCTTTAATGTAACGGGGTGTCCCTGAGGTCGGCACCTGACAGTATATCATGAATTTTGAGAACCTCAGTTGGCTGAACAACAAGGTCTTTGCCAAGAGAAATTATGAAACATAAAGGTCTCAGGAACGACAGTCTTAGACAGGAATTGTTTTTCTTTTTTCTTTTTTTTTTTTTTAATAGGCCATGCATTTTCATCAGCTGGATAACAAGAAGAAGCAGGTGCCAATGGCTCACACCTGTAACTCTAACTACTCAGAAGGCTGATGAAAAGCCAGACAGGAAAGACAAATCTCCAATTAGCCAACAAAATGCTGGAAGTGGAGCTGTAGCTCAAGTGGTAGAGCACCAGCCTTGAGCCTAAAAACTATAGGACAGTACCTAGGTCATGAGTTCAAGCCCTAGGACCAGCATACGTGTCCACATGCATATGCACCCCCCCTCCCCCCCGCAAAAGCAAGAAAATAGTCTTGCTTCTGTCCACTGCCTGCCCAGCAGCCTCTCCAAGAAGCCCAGCAGCTTCCCTGGGGTCAGTGCAAACGGAAGCAGAGATGGGTCAACTCCGCTTCACTTCCCCTCTCTACAGAAAAGGTGTCTGGAGCCAAGTGCTTTTATCACCTTCAATGATAAAAAGGGAAGTTGTAGCTGACAGAATGTCATTCTTTACACAATACTAAGCTTATTCTTAGCAATGCACTGTCCACAAACATAAGATTAAAAATATGGCACTGAATTTCATCCAGCAGTGGGTAAACCAGGGTCAAATGCACAGGGTTTTCAGTGACCTGGGACCCTACCACATTTTTGTTGCATCTAGTTGTCATGCTTGACCGACTGCAGGCTCCTGGAGGGCACAGCCTGGGCCTGACCCATCTTCAGATACCAGCTGTCAGATTACAAACTAGCTCCAGCCCTGTGTCGGCTCGCTCTGCAGTGGGACCCCACAGCCCTCCCCTTAACCTGCTCAAAGCCTGGCCTCAGCACAAGGCTGGAAGGGAGAGTGTACAACTCCCAAATCCAGGTCTCAGTCTGTCTGGCCTGCTTCCTCTCTGCTGGACCCATGCCCAGCTGCCCTGGGAGCATGCCCAGGCCAGTGCATGTTCAAGAGTCGCCCTCAAGGGCCCCGAGCCAACTCCTCATGTGCGCATGCACACACACAGCCTGGCCAAGATGATCTGACCCTTGCTCAGACCAAGAAGGCCCACAGACTTACACGCACGCGCGCGCGTGCGTACACACACACACACACACACACACACACACGCACATGCATGGAACATTTGGACACAGTTTTAAGTCATAGTTAAAGACAGATTTGACTCCAAGGCACCCCAAGCAGCAGGGAAAGGGGTGCTGCAGCGAGAATGGCATCTCAGCACTGGGGCAGGGGTGTGGCAGGCAGAAGGGAGATCTGCCCGGTGCTCTCTTTACTCACCTGGAAGAGGGGGGACGCGTCCCTCGATTCCCACGCCTCAGGGTGCCTTCTGCTGTCCGATGCCCACCAGGAGGCCACGGCAGGGTGGAATGTCTGCAGCACGTGTGGGTACACATACCAAGCACCTGGACACAGGAAGCAGCTGCTTACCATCTCCTCTGCCCCGTGGCCCGTGTCACCGCGTGGGCTCTGATTTTCCTGGCCTCAGACACTCTCACATCCCCTGCAGGCCCCCGCACCCACCCCGCATCTATTCTATAGACAGGGACATACAGGAACTGACTATAACTGGCTAGGGAGGTCCGAGGGTGGACTCCAGGGCCCCAGGCTCTGGGACTGGCCTTGAAGCACAATCCTGTGAATGACTAGACTGGAGACGGGGGCTGGGCTCCGTGTGGGGGTTGGAAACTCCCCAGCACTGGATCCAACGTGGGATGCTGATGGTCCCCAACCAGAGCACAAAGCTACACCCACACACAGACACATGGACCTTCCATGAGGCCGCATTGTGCTGTTTACTCTTGAGAAATGTTGTGTAAGAGAGAAACATTAAAATACAAACACAAGCCAGGTATTAGTGGCTCACACCTGTAATCCTACTCAGGAGGCTGAGCTCTTAGGTTTGAGGTTCAAAGCTAGCTTGGGCAGGAAAATCTGTGAGACTCTTATCTCCCATTCATCACTAAAAGCTTGAGATAGAGCTGTGGCTCAAGCGGTAGAGCACCAGCCTTCAGCAAAGAAAAGCTAAAAGACAGCTCCTAGGCCCTGAGGTCAAGCCCTAGGTACTGGCACACACACCAAAAAAAAAAAAAGACACAAACAGAGAAGGAGGGAGGAGAGGAACAGAGAGAACTTGAAAAGCCACACCTGCCTTCGGTTCCTTAGTCATAAGCAAGGGAAGGGAAGCCCCCAGCACAGGCAGAGAGCCACAGAGGGACCTGGGCAGGTCCTCCACCTGCATTCCACATGGCCGTGACACTAGTCCTGCCCACCCCATGTGAGGGGTTAGATGGACCTAAGGCCAGGGAAAGGGCTGCAGGACAGAATGTTGCAAGATTAGAAAGGACCATTATTATTGTAAGGGCGATGCCCAGTTTCCACTGGGTAGGAACAAGCTGTTCTTGTAACAGGAAACAAAAAGGAAACCAACTTTTGGGAAAATGTGCTTCCCTGATATTTTGAAAAGAAACACAAGTGGAGTAGATGCTAAGCCAATAAAATCAACTCTCTCTGAAAAACTAATAAAGCACGGCCTTTAACTATAAGTTGGTATAATCATTAAAAGAGATCCCGGGCCACACAAGCATCTCCTGTGAAGCTGGAGGAGCACGGGACATTAACATGACAAGATGGCACCAGGGCGGGCTAGAGCAAGGCAGGGCAGCTGCTAAGCGACTGCTCTTGGGGCTCAAGGGGGTGCTTATCTCTCCTTCCATCTCATTGCTTTTGCCTTAAAAACAACTCAAGATTTAACTTGATCTTGTGAAAACAACCCACTCACAGACTATGTCCTCGTGTGGAATGGAGGGAAAAAAACTGCTACTAATAATAGCACCCGAGTTCCTGCTTATGGCTTCTATCCCAGGCTGGGTTCCTGCCCAGATGGCACACGGGGTGTTTCTGGGGTGCTCTGTACTAACTACAGCTACAGTGTGGCTCCCCAACTCAGGACAACAATAGATGGTGTGTTTCTCCTTTGCCCCAGACAGCCTGAGAGTGGGAAGCATTGGGCCCAGGGCTCTGTCTGCCACACTGGGTCGCTAGCCCAGCACCTGCCACATCCTGCCCTTGCCCCTAGCACTCCCTACCCCTCGTCTGTCCCAGGCTCACCATAGGTCAGGCCGGTCAGCAGGAGCAGCAGCAGGAGGAACCAGAGGAACGGCTTCAGAGAGGAGAAGCGCCTGGACCTCGGGAAGAAGCAGACATAGGAGGATTCTCTACCTCTGCCTGCCTCTCCCAGGTCCTAGACTAGAGCAGTTCTCCTAAGCTGCTCATGGCACCAGGACCAGACTGAACAGCAGAGCAGTATCCGCAGGTCTTTGAGTGATGGGAGGCATGCTGACGCTGTGAACTTTATTGGCGTTATAAACAATAAGTAAGGTGGTCTTGGCAAAACTTAAACATGTTTTAGAGAGCTTCTAAGCAAGAAAAGTTAGGAAGAAAAATAAACTGCCAGCCAGGCACTGGTGGCTCATACCGGTAAATCCTAGCTACTCAGGATGCTGAGATCTGAGGATAGCAGCTTGAAGCCAGCCCAGACAGGAAAGTTGTGAGACTCTTATCTCTAATAAATTACTCAGAAAAGGCTAGAAGTGGCATTGTGGCTCAAATGGTAGAGCACTAGCCTTGAGCCAAAAAAGTTCAGGGACAGCACCCAGGCCCTGAGTTCAAGCCCTGAGACTGGACCATTTTCTTTTAGGCGAGACTTTTCTTGGCATGAACTGGTCCTTTTCCCTCTGCTCAGCCACTGCCAGCTGCCCAGCCCGCCCTGGGCCCTGGGCTGCGGTGAGTCTCCCTCATCCTTAGGCAGCACTCTGTGAGGCCTTGACCACCACAGGCCTGAAAGGGAAGCTGGGCTTTCCTGGAACCCCACTTCTGGGGCAGAACCCCATAGCCTAACAGAGGGAGTAAAGCCACATGCGGGGTGGATTTAGGAGGAAGTGTCCACACAGAAATAATCTGTGTTCCAGAACCCTGCTGAAGGGCAACTGTGTCCGTGTCCCACCCTCCTGCCACACCTCCCCCCCCACTACATCAGCAGCGAGGGGCCCTGGGGTCCACTTCCTGCTGAGAGAAGCTTCATGTAGCCCTAGACTCTGGGAGAGATGCCACGTGCAAATTTACCCACTTCGCCATCCTTCCCATTCCCGTCACCCTGCCCATCCACTCTCAGGGCTAGGGGCTCGCTCACCTGGTTAACACGAAGACGTCCAGGAGGGAGGCAGCTGTGGTCAGGCGGTACCACGTGGTGCCAACCCACCAGTACAGGAGTCCGAAGAGCCGGCCTGAAGAGCAGCCATGGAGTTCAGGACTTGGACTCACATTTGGCACATCGCCCTCTCCTCTCCTCCCTGGCCTACCCCACGCCCACCTGCCAGGATGTCCCCGTCCCATCCTGTGGTCCCACTCCCATGAGCCAGCGTGCCCCCGGCCCCTGGTCCTGCCAGCACCCACCTGGAAATGTGAGTACCATCCATACGAAGGAGCCTGCTCGTGACACGGCACTGCTTAACCGAGACCCTGAACTAGGCTGGTCCACATCCGGGTAGCCTGTGGGAAGAGGGGCAGAGAGTAGCTGGGCTGGGCCGTGGCCGCGGTGGCCTTGGGATCTGAAGCCTGCCTGCACCTAGTGAGGCCAGGCCCACAGCAGGTCGGCAATGTCTGCAGAGGGAAGGAGGGAAGGTTTCTGATGCTCTGCCTCCAACCACAGCTTCTTGTTTGCGTCTCTCTCCCTGCCAACAATCCTTGGAACCGCTGTTCAGAGCAGAGGTGGGGCTCACCTGCATATCTAATGTGAGTGACGGAGCACCTGCTGGACGAGGAGTGGCAGCCGTACACCCTGCCCTCTCCCCATCCAGGTGGTCCTGCCCAGGCCACCCTGGCCCCCAGCAGGCTGGGAATCTGCTCAGGGGGTGGGGAGGAGCACCCACCTGCAAAGTCATCCTCAGAAGAGTAGCCTGAGGAGGAGCCAAGGAAGTCCTCCCTGCTCTCCGCCAGCCCGTTGGTCTTGCTGCTCTCCGTGCCCCCAGTTCCTCTCCTCCTCCTCACCTGCAGGTCCTCACCTGGCAGGGAAGAACATGGGTGCTCCTGGGCCTCCCAGTAGCTGTGGGAGGCCTGGGGCAGGGGGTGCTCCGAGGGGGCAAGCTCCAGGGGGCCTCCGGGGGACACTGAGGATGAGGAAGCACAGCCCGGGAGGAAGGCTGCAGACACTCACTCCAGTAGGGCTCACTGCGCAGGCGGTCCTCCAGGAGGGCGCTCCTGGCCAGGGAGGCGGCCCGGGGGCTGCCTATGTAGGACTCCCGGACCACTGACTCGCTGTAGTAGGAGGTGTGGGAATCCGAGGAGGGGCCCAGCTGGGGGGCTGGGGATGGGCGCTTCATGTTGCTGGATTTCCTCTTCAAGGTCCTGTGGAACAGTCATGAGGGAAGGGGCAAGGAAGTGAGCCCAGTGGGGGACAGGAAGCCACAGCCAAGGCAGCTCTGTGCTCCTGATTGGTTTTGTTGCTAGGCAACCAACACCCCCTCCGCCCCGCCCCCATCTGCTCCTGCCTACCTTCCAGTACAGGTACTTTCTCTGTTTCTGATATCACTGATTCTCACCAGAGACAGGCAAGATCATCAGTTAGGGATGAAGCCAGTGTTCAAAGACAATCTCAAACTTCAAAGCCACAGGATTTGCCAGGCTTCCTCATGGGCCAGTAATTTCTACAACCCGCTGAAAACCCAAACAGACTTGGCCTCCTAGAGCTAGCGGGAGCCTCGGGGCCTCGTGTCTCCAAGCTGGGTGGCAGCCAACTGAGGAGACCTTCCAGGGGAGATGGACAGATTGCCACACCCTGTCACAGCAGGAGGGCTTGCTGAGAGCCGTGAGCAGAGCTATGGGGGTTTCCGGCCGGGCATGTGTGTCAAGCCGCCCCTCCCCACTTCCTGCCCCAGCTCACACCGACTGGAGAAGACGGGGCTGTGGGCACTGCCATCCTCATAGAAAGGCAGGACCTCTTGAGCCAATAGCAGTCTCTGGTCTCTGCCCAGGGAGGCAGGTCAAAGAGCCACCTGCTGTGTGGGCCTGCACAGGGGACAGAGATGATGGCACTCCCGCGGGCCCACCTCAAAGGACTGTCTTTGAACAGGGTGCTCTGGCTCCCTGTCACGGAGCTCCCTCCGCTGCTACTGCTGCCATCGTCGTCCCCTTGGGAGTAGCGCGAGAGGCGCTGGCTGCGGCGTGACATGACTCCTCCCCTGAAGAGCGGCTGGGGGGAAAGGACAACACACGAGACTGGAGGCTGTGCCGGGCCCATCCGCGCTGGGGCGGAGCAGCCCTGTGACCTGTGACCTGTGACCTGTGACGTGGGTGCCTTGGGGCCTCTGCGAAGCGTTCTCCAGCCCTCATACCCAGCTGCCTACGACCCCAGCCCGGCCTCCGACGTCGACGTGGTACTTCCTTTTTAATTTTATTTCTTTTAAATTTTTATTTCATATCTATTTATTTTTGTTGGTTTTTGTGACCAACGAGGGTTTACACTTGGGGCCTTGGCTTCTTTGCTCAAGGTTGGCACTCTAGCTCTTAGCCAAAGCTATACCCTTTCTGGCTTTTTGTTGGTGAACTGGAGATAAGACTCACAGATTCGTCTGCCATCACTGGCTTCAAACCTCAGTTCTCAGATCTCATCTCCTAAGTGGCTAGAATTACAGGTGTGAGTCACTGGCACCTGGCTCCACAAGGCTTTCTAAGGGTCAGTTTGCTTGTCTTTATCGTCCTAGACAGGACAGTCTGTGTGAACCAGAATGAGGAACGCCTCAAGCGCTGGTGTGTGACCGAGGATCTCACACTCAGGAGGGGCCTTGGAGGTGCTAATCAGGACTTGGTTTTCAATCCCCACTGCCCAGTATGCCTTCTGGCCCAGCCACCCTCCACCCTGCCCTCGCCCTGGAGCTGCTGCTCTGTCGATGGAGTGTGCCTTCTTTTCCTTCCTCTTAGCCATACTCACGGACTTTCCTTGTCTGGGCTGGCTTTGAACCATGATCCTCAGATCTTAGCCTCCTGAGTAGCTAGCATTACAGGCGCCTGGCCTCTCTTGTACTCTTATCATTGCTTGATGTAATGAGAAGATACTTGGTTGAATGCCTACACATTCCCCTGCACAACCCCATTAGTGGTGCCCACGAGTCAGTCCAGGTGGCATCACCACTCCCATGGGGGGGGGGGAGGGGAGAGCCTGGGACACTGAGCAGATGGGAACCATGTCCACCATCACCCAACTGGGAGGTGACAGAAGCCAGGATCCCTGCTTAGACCTGACAGGTGGCAGCGTCCAGGGCTTTCTACTCTACTAAAGAGTTTGCAAGTTGTTTTGGGGAATGTGTTGTGCGTTTCAACTGGAGTCTTTTTATAGCTCTAAATAAGCTGGGAACAGGGCTGCAGACTGTGATGACACCACAAATATTTCCTAACAAACAATCCGGGGAGGCGAAGTAGCAGCATGGCATTACAGTCAGTGCAAGCCTACGGGCCAATCAGCGCGGAAGGCAGTGACTGATAATCAGGACAAAGAGGCCAAAGTGAAAAGACCTGGCCAAGGGCAGGGTCCCCCACATGAGGAAGATTAACCTTTCACTTCTGGGAACCCAAATTCCAATCTCAGATTACCAATGTTCTGGAGTTTCCAAGTAGCACGGATATTACAAAATAGCAATTGCATCCTAAGCCCCTTCAAGATTTCCTACTACTTGTGATTTTTTTCTTTATTTCTTCTGATACTCCTGGTAGGTATGGAAACCACCAATTGCCAGGGCAGTGTGGTGGGTTTACCCTAACACTGTTCAATTCTGACTGTGAGAACCAGAAGGTCAGGTTCATCCAGCCTAGAGTGCCTTCATTTGGAAAACAAGTAGCCTCCTGTCTGGGCTACTTGGCATTTACCCAGGTGGGAATGCCTATCTGCTTTCCTATCCTGGCTTTAGCTGATGTTAGTAAAGAGACCAATTGGTAGTAGCCAGAGCAGGAAGTTGGCCTCGGTCCTGGGCTGTATTCCACTCCTTATAAGGCAGTCCACTCCCCTCGACTGGCAGCCTCCCTCACCTGACAGCTACAGATGCGCACCAAACTCTTGACCCTAGCCCTGCTTCAGCAGGCTGGGGAAGCCTTCACCCAGGGGCAGATACATGTTTGTACAGTACCCATGCTTCTCTTGGCAGGAACTCCAACACTCCCCCGAGGTGGGTGGGGAGGTGGGGTGCTAAGTGGCTGAAAACTGCCGGTCTGCCTACACTTCCCAGAGATCGGGCTGCTGTTGTACTTAGTCTCACTGAAGAGTTTCACAAACAAGAAGTAAACCCCCAGAAACTCAATTCTTAGGCCTATCAGTACAGACACTCCCCCAAGCCGGAAACCAAGAAACCCTGGGAAAAAAAAAGAAACAAAACATAATTCCAGTCAGAACCCTGCCTGTGCTAAACACCAGCAACTCAGGAGGCTGAGATCTGAGGATCCAGGTTCTATGCCAGCCCAAGGGGGATTCTTAACTCTCACTAACCACCAAAAGGCCGGAAGTGGAGGTAATAGAACACTGTGAGCAAAAAAAAAGCTAAGTGTCCAGGTCCTAAGTTCAAGTCCTAGTACCTGTGTGTGCGTACACACACACACCCCCTAAAACCACCTCATTCTCAACACCCGTGAGCTGACCCACACCCTCCTCTCAATTCCGCCCCATCACACGCGGGCCGGCAGGATCCGCTCACTCTTGAGACCCCAGCGAGATCGTGGGGGCCCTGCGCGTGACAGGTCCACTCCCAGGACACATGCCCACCGCGTGTCCCCGTGGGACCTGTCGAGCGCTCCGGGCCACCGCCCTCCCTGGCGGGAGGGGGGCGAGGGTGGCCGCTCGGGCCGCCCGCCCCTCCCCCGCCGCGCCCCGCCCCCCGCCGCCGCCCGCGGCCCGGTTTGTTTTGTTTCTGGACTGAGCGGACCGGGCCTCTCTCCGAGCCCCGGAGTTCGCACAGGCGCCGAGCGGGCAGGGAGCTGCCAGCGCCGACCCGGCCGGAGTGGCCCGGGCGGCTGGGGGAGCCCCGCCTGGCGCTGCCCGCGGGGCGCCGGGCCCGGGGGCGGGGCGCCAGGGCCCGGCCGGCCCGGGGGTGTGCGCCCGCCCGGCGGGGGCTGGAGCCCGGCCCAGCTTGGCCCGGGGAGGAGAAAGCAGGCCCGGCAACTCGAGCCTGGCCCGAGCGGCCCGCTGGGGGAGGGGGATGGGGTGTGACCCGGGGGCCCGGCGGGGCCCGCGGCCGCGGCCGCTCGACCCCACCACCGCCGACTTTACCTGCTGCCGCGGCTGCTCCGCGCGCGGCCCGGGGCGCGCGAGGCCTGTCGCGACGCTGGGCGCGCCCCCTTCCCGAGGACGGATCCGCGGGCGGTGTCCCGAAGCGGCAGCCGGGCCCCGGGGCTCCGGCGCACAGCGAGCGGCGGCGCGGGACGAAGCGGGCCGGGCAGGTGGACAAAGCTGCCGGCGGAAGCCCGCGCTGCGCGAGTGGGGCTGGGCGGCGCGCGCGTGGCCCAGTGTGTATGTGTGCGCCTGTCAGTCAACGCTGACAGGCCGCGGCCCATTGGCTAAGCCCCGCTGGCAGTCCCCGCCCCCCGCCCCCGCCCATAGGCTGGTTTGAACACAAAGGCTCCGGCTCGCCCCGCCCCCGCGTGGGCCCCGCGGCCTGGCGAGCGCCGCCCCCCGGCGTCCGCGGGTGGGAGCCGGGGGCGGACGCGACTCTCCCCGGGGCTCCGGGAGGTCGCCGTGAGGGCCGGCGCTGGGCCCGGGCGAGGCGGAGCCTGGGCGCTGGGGAATTGCGAGGTCTGAGGCTGCTGCGCGCCTCTTCCCGCCCGCGCGCCGCGCTGACTCTGCCGGGCGGGGTCCCCGGTGCCCCACAGGCGAGGGCCCCGGACGGCGCCCGCCCAGGGTGGCTGAGGCCGGGGCGGTGGCCAGCACCCCCCCCCCCACCCGGGTCGGATAAGGACCGGGAAGTGTCGCCACACGCCGGGCCCTGGGCTGATTGCTCAGCCAGTCCTCCCTGCACCCATCTTTAAGGCAAGGAAACGGGGTTCGTTGAGGTTTAACGTTTCTTGCAAGAAGCCGAACTGAGATTAGAAGGTTCCACTTGGGGCTGGGTTTAGGATTCCAGACATGGCAGGAGGCTCCCTGAGGCGGTTTTGGGGTTTTGTTCCCCCTCTATTTTACTTTAATCCTAGCTACCCAGTAGGCTTAGATCTGAGGATCCCAGTTCAAAGCCAGCCTGGGCAGCTCAATCTGTGAGGCTTTTTTTAAATCTTCAGTTAGCCAACAAAAAAGCCAGAAGTGAAAGTGTGGCTCAAATGGTAGAGTGTCAGCACTGAGTGAAAAAGCGGAGAGAGCGGGCAAGGTCCTGAGTTCAAGCCTCAGGACAGACACACAATTAACAGAGGGTCCCACAGTTGGTGTCAAAAGAAGGCAGGGCTGGTTGTGTCCCTGACTGCAGGGGGTCCTGTCCCTTGGCCTCACGGGCCTACTGGGGCAGCCAGGACAGTTGGGCACAAGCAACTTCCTGTGAGAGATGAGACCCAGTGCCATTACTTCACTTTCAAAGTGCCAAGAGGAAATACGACAAGACATGACAAAGTCACTGAAGCAGGCACAGGAAATGTGGGGGGTCTGAGACTAAGAAAACAGGAAGTCCTCCAGATGCAAACAGCCCCCCCTTTTTTCCCCCAGGGCTGAGGACCAAACCTAGGGCCTTCCGCTTGCCAGACGGGCGCCCTTCCGCTAAGCTAAACCCCCAGCCCCAACAGCCCAGCCCCGCTTTCTGATCTCCACTGTGCCACCTGGAAAGGGAGGGGTTCAACTGCCTTTGAAGAACCTTAGGGGAATCACACTGTGGGCTTAGCCCTAGAGCTTGCTGGGGAGCCTGGCAGACTCCTGTCTGTATCTGCTGACCAGAGGAGAGCAACAAACCAGGCAGCACCCAAGTAGGGCAGGGCCTCTGCACCCTTGATGTCCAAGATGCCCCCAATTCTGTCCTAGTGCATTCCAGCAGTCTCTGCATCCCACCCCTTCACGCAGAGCCTGCTCCCTCTTCTCTGAAGGTCCAGCAAACAATCTGCTCATAAATGGTGCTGTCTAAATGGGCCTGAGTAGGTGGAACAGTGCTCCCCAAAGATATTAAGTGCTAATCCTGGCACCTGTGGATATTATCTAAATGAAAGGGCTTTGCAGATGGGACTAAAGATTTTTCAAGTGTGAAGATTATCCTGGATTACCAGGCTGGGCCCTCAAGGTAATCATAAGAGCCTTCGCCAGGAGAAATGGATGAAGCGAGAAGGAGAGGAACCATCAAGGTAGGGATCAAGTGATGTGGCTGGGAACCAAGGAATGCTGACAGCCACCAGAAGCCAGAAGCACTGAAGACCAGGAATGGCCTTGCGTGAGGTGAGCCCTGCTGACACGTGATTACAGCCGGGATACTGACAGCAGATTTCTGGTTTCTGTGTTCTCACTAGGTTT